CTCTATATTGAATGGTATCTTCCAAATGTTCCATGCATATCTTAATATATCTTTCTTGATCCATTAACACTATGTTTCCCCCTTTGTCTGAAGGTTTGCTAATTAGATCTTTATTGTTGCTAAGGTCCCTAAGTGCTTCACGTTCAGCTTTTGTTAGATTGTCCATGCAGGAAGTGATTCTAAAGATTTGGTCGTCAATTGTACAAATAAGTCCACTGGTAAGATGTTGTTTGTCATCTTGTTCATCGAGGAGAGACACCATGGTTTGAAGGTGTTGATAGTCCTCGGATATTAAACCCAGTTCTTTGGCTAGCTTGTTGTCTTTTCTTTTATGGGTGACACTTAGGGCAAGTTTACGCCCCAAAAGATTTGTGTTTCACCCAGTCAAATTTATTTGTAATGGGAGAGGGAACGAAGGACAAACCTTTGCTGAGCAAGGATTTGTGCTTATTTTCAAGGTTGAAAGTAGAGATTTATGATGAGGTTATCTTCAGTATTATTGTGCTTCATTGGTTCTTGTATCCTTCCTTGTTTATTTTGTAACCCCATATTTTTCTGTCCCTGAGTTTGCCTCTCTGGGGCTGAGGCCACTCTTGGTATAAAAAAGATGGTCCTGATTGGGAGGATGTAGATGGGATTGACGAATTAGTGGTAGTGGAAGGGTTTACAAACTGTTTGACTGGAAAGGACACATTTCTCTCTACTGGTTTTAATATACATTTTCTTCCCTGTTGGGTAAGGTTCATAGTTCTTATGGTGTTCATACCTCTCCTTCAGGGACTAGAGTCAGAGTCGGACCAATTGGTGTCACCTGATGTGGAATTGTGTCTGCTACTAAATCTTTTCCTATTTTTATTTCTCTGTCTAAAGATGGTTCCTTCCTTAAAGTCCCTATATTCTCGTTGGAACTTCAGATGTTTTTTTCCCTGATGTGTTTTTTAAAACTTTCCAAAATATTGTTAAGTTTGGTTTCCATTAATTTAAAGTCAAAGTGTGTTTGAAAGGCTTTGATATTATTAATCTCAGTTTGAAGGTTCTGATTAACCATTTCTAAGTGTGATTCCTCTAATTTAATTAGGAATTCCATAAGTTTAATCGAACTGTCTATCAGGATGTTGTTCCATTCCTTGATTTGAATATTATTTTTTACTTTTTCTTGTCTGGGAATATCAGACCTAAGTCCTCTAGGGACTAAGTTCTCTTTGACATATTTACGTAGACTAGTAACTTCCCAATGTCCCTTAATTTATTGTTTGTACATATTTTGTATGTCAAAGAAACTTTCATTGATGTCATTTGGATTCTGTTTAATTAGGGGTTCAAGGGAAAAGACATTGTTAATGTTGGTTGTACTTAGATCAGGGTTGATGACGTTAGTTAAATATGAAGTCATTTTAATCAGGAAAATAACTGACTAGTGGTGCTTCCTTAAGGAGGTGGGTATTGAAATCCTGTAAGGATTAGAAGAACAAAAGCAGTAGGATGGAAGTTTATGGGATACACTCGTATAGGGGTTAACTCATGAGAAACTACAGAAGTAGTAAAAGGAAAAGGAGAAAATGAATTGATACTTTTTCTATATTGACATTTGTAACAAGAATTTATACACTTTGTGTCATTTTCATAGGTATTAGTTCACCACACTGTTCTCTTGCCTCTTAGGAACATCCACTTATTAGGCTTGGTTTTGTACATAGTTTTCACATTATTATTTTTCAGCCTTGTATATTACTTACTGAGTATTAACTCATTTGTGGGTACCTACTGAACGATTTTAACTACACTATTAAAGGTTATATTTTAATTTTATTAGGGTACTCATATAGGAATTACAGTATCATAATAGTAGTAACAAAGTAAAGTGGTTCTTAGCTCTAAAGTACAGCAATGCAGAGTAGAACAAAAATGTACTTAGCTGGTCGGAGGGAGCAGCGAAGAAAGAGGAAGAGTTGAGGAGTGCAACCCCTGATATCCCATAGACTGGATGCTGGTTGCACAGTTACTATGCAGTGTTATGTTTATTCATTTTCTCTTTTGTATACATCTCTCTTTGCTGGAAATTAAAGGAAAAATAAAGCATAAAAGGAACTTCCGTGTCTTTAATAAAATCTAAATGACAGCTCCACCACTTCCATGCAGCAAAGGAAGCTTCAAAGATTATACAACTCTGACAGTCAGAGAGGGTAGAGAAATTAATGCATAACTCACACACCTACCATTACAGAGAGTAAGGCAGATTGCTATAGCAGAATATATTGCATGGCTATAGCAGCACTACTCATGTGTTAGCTCTGCCAACCACTCACATTGGAAAGGAAGAATTAAACATTTCTACAAAAACTTTAGGCCCAAGACCCCAGTTCTTTGTTTCCTGCCACAACTCATTAAGACAGTTTTTTCCCTGCATAATTGTTTCTTTATTGCTTACCAGCATTTTTTAACCCTTAGCCTCTCTTCCTCCAACAGCTTCTGTATATAATGCTTCACCAAGGGTCACCTCCTGCAGAACCCCATTTAAGTGACCGGGTGTGTATGCTGCTGTAACCCTTAGGTAGCAGCTCGGAGCTTAAGGCCCACTGCATATCCTTCTAAAGTATCTGGATGCTGGTTGCACAGTTACTATGCAGTGTTATGTTTATTCATTTTCTCTTTTGTATACATCTCTCTTTGCTGGAAATTAAAGGAAAAATAAAGCATAAAAGGAACTTCCGTGTCTTTAATAAAATCTAAATGACAGCTCCACCACTTCCATGCAGCAAAGGAAGCTTCAAAGATTATACAACTCTGACAGTCAGAGAGGGTAGAGAAATTAATGCATAACTCACACACCTACCATTACAGAGAGTAAGGCAGATTGCTATAGCAGAATATATTGCATGGCTATAGCAGCACTACTCATGTGTTAGCTCTGCCAACCACTCACATTGGAAAGGAAGAATTAAACATTTCTACAAAAACTTTAGGCCCAAGACCCCAGTTCTTTGTTTCCTGCCACAACTCATTAAGACAGTTTTTTCCCTGCATAATTGTTTCTTTATTGCTTACCAGCATTTTTTAACCCTTAGCCTCTCTTCCTCCAACAGCTTCTGTATATAATGCTTCACCAAGGGTCACCTCCTGCAGAACCCCATTTAAGTGACCGGGTGTGTATGTTGCTGTAACCCTTAGGTAGCAGCTCGGAGCTTAAGGCCCACTGCATATCCTTCTAAAGTATCTGGTGGCCTGGAGGGAACCGCTCTTATAATAATGAGTGCTGGGAAGCTTGGCTATTTGGGCTGCTAGTGTTTTTCTTTGTAGCCTGCTGTCCAGTAAATGAATTTGTCCGACATTCGGCTTCAATTTTACTAAATTCAGTCAAAATTTTACTTTGTTCTGCTTTCTGTGCATATTCGCTAGCACGAACTAAGTGGTAATTGATCCCTTTTTTAATAGCTGCTCTGAGATTTGCTATTATGGCTTCTCCAGCACACAAGTGAAATAGGTCACACTCTAGAGAATCAAGGTAACCCATGTTCAATTTTATCCTTTAAGCAAAAGAGAACTTTGGGGGGTGATTCTGCTGGATTCAGTACCCCTTACATTTAAATCTATATTGTATCTTTCAGATCCCTCTGGTCTCTAAAGAGATCCCCAGTTCTCTCCAGATCTATCCGTTGTGATGCTTGCAACAACTTGGTAGTTGAAGGGAAAAGACTGTGCTTGTGTTTTTTCCCTTTACCTTTGTAGTTGAAGGGAAAGAGCTGTGTTTGACAGCAGATACCTCTATGAGCAATCCCTCTGGGTCTAACCCTTTGGATGTTATTGCCTATATCAAACAGGCTGTGGCAGACGAAGCCAAAGAAGCTACCCAAGGTTCCAAACAATCTAGATCCAGCATCAGACATGACTTTAAATTATTCTGAGGAAGGTTAAAGGTTAAAGGGACACTCCAGGCACCCAGACCACTTCTGCCCATTGGAGTGGTCTGGGTGCCAACTCCCACTACTCTTAACCCCGCAAGTGTAATTATTGCAGATTTTTATAAACTGCAATAATTACCTTGCAGGGTTAACTCCACCTCTAGCAGACAGCCACTAGAGGGCACTTCCTGCTCTATAGCACAGAAACCCTGTGCTAGAGCGTCGCTGGACGTCCTCACGCTGTGTGAGGACCTCCAGCGTCGCTCAATTCCCCATAAGAAAGCATTGAAAAGCATTTTCAATACTTTCCTATGGGGAACTCTAATGCACATGGGCGGCATTGCCGCGCATGCGCATTAGGTCTCCCCGGCTGGTGGGTGGGATCAGTCTTGCCCACCGGCCGGCGTAAAGACTGGGCGGCAAGAAGAAACCAGCGCCGAGGGACATCGGCGGGGTCTCAGGTAAGTGACCTGAAGGGGTTTTCAACCCTTCAGAAACTGGGGATGGGGGGTGGGAGGCAGAGGGGACCTGCAGTGCCAGGAAGACGGATTGTTTTCCTGGCACTGGAGTTTTCCTTTAATGTGAAAGAGAATTTGGAAAGGACAATTTCTCCGCAGAGGGGGTGAAGAGATTCCTCATTCAGGTTGATTTGATAAGAGAAAACCAGAAGCCCTCATTTATGTAAAACCCTAACCTGGAAGGAAAAAAAAAAGGCCACAATGCCTATTGATGACTCGGGCTCCCTCAGAGAACCAATCTAGAGAAGGACTGCTGCATCCAGTGGCTGCTCATCGCTTATTAAGATCTGATCAAGCTGGCCTCCATACGGGTACTGCATCAAAAAATAGCCTGTGTTCTCTGCCTTTTCAGGGGAACATGCTGTTTGGTCGACAAACAAATGCATTGAAAAAACAGCAGAGAGACGTAAAGCAGAAGATCGTTCAGAGACTGAAGGCAGTACAGACCTGGAAAACAGCCCTTTTGCCAGCAGTGGAAAAATAAGCAATCTTCCAACAGAGGTGGAAGAAGAAGACAAGGTTCTTAAAGTCAGAAAAGAGTATTCTGATACCACAGAGACTGTTTCCAGAAGTATGGGTTGGACTGACTTATTTCTCCAAAATCTGGACTCAGTCGGTACAAGATGTCTAGGTGAAAAACCTAATCACCAGAGGTTATTTTCTCAGATTTACAAAATAATGCCCCTTGTCACGAATGTGGGCTATTGGGCCAGCCAAGACAGTGGGGAGAGTGGAAGTAAATGGGTTGATGACACCAGACCCCTGGTTACCTGTTGCTAGTCCCAGCAACCACTAAATTAACCCCTGCAATCCATTCTACACGAACACCCTAGTACACAATTACTTCCACCACTAAGACTTTATATCCGGGCGTATTAGGTTACCCCACACTCAGTAGAATTATAGTGTCACAACCTTACTTTACTCATCAGACATATAGTTAACCCTTTTAGTAACGTGTTTACCTGAGCTTTCCTCAGAAGCGTTAGCTCATAGAAAACAAAGACACAAGCTGATTAAGCAAACATTTAATGTGACAAAAAGGATTCACAGTGCTGGGTACAAAAATACAGAAATGACATACAGAAACACAGATAACACATTGCAAAACAGTCCATAAAATACGAGAAAACACAAGAATTCCTTACATATATTTACCCCTTATATATAATTCTTGTGGGAGATTCAGATGCTACAGGTCTCCAAGTAGTTGTTAAACAGAAAGCTAAAGAAATCAGGAAGAAAGAGGCTCTAATAAACTTCATGGACAAAAAAAGGTGGTATGTCCAGTATTAAAGAACGGAAGGTTTCAGGGTTATTATTCCAGACTGTTCTTAACCCCCAAATGTCTAGACAATTGGAGACCGATACTAGACCTGTCAATATTAAATACCTTTCTGCGAGTCAGCAAATTCAAAATTGAATCCTTGGCATCGATCATCAAAGTCGTATCTCCTGCCGATTGGATGATTTCAATTAACCTAAGGAATGCTTATTTCCACATCCCTATTGCAAAAGAACATCAAAAATAGGTGAAAGTAGTAAACACATATTATACTGCTTTTACCTTTGGCCTCAGTTCAGCACCAAGGGTGTTTAAAGTGTTGATATCGCTAATTGCCGAGATCCGTCTCATGGGTATAAATTTTTCTCACTACCTGGACAACATTCTTCTGGCAGGAAAAAATCAAGCTACAGTGTTGACCCAGCGAAACAGGACAAGGAGCATCCTAGAACAATGTGGATGGATCATGAATATGAACCCATCACACCAATTGGTGTACCTAGGGACATATTTCAACACAACCTCTCACACGACAGAGCAGACAGGCTGAATAAGAAAATTGCAGAGTTATTCCCTCTACGTTATGTTCCAGCTCTCAAGTTCATGAGCCTATTAGGATTCCTGTCCTCCACAATAGTTTAACAAGGTGGGCTCATTGGCATCTGAGGTTCAGAAGCATTTTTTCTGTCACAATTCAGGCACCAACACCTCAGTTGTAGCTTACATTAACCACCAAGAGGGAGCTCACAGTGTAAAGATGATGAGAGTCATGTTCTCTCTCATGAATTGGACTTAGAGACATCTATCATCCAATTCATCTTCCAGGTTCCTCCAATATCCAAGCGGATTTCCTATGCAGGCACCAAATACAACCAGGGAAATGGTGCTTGGCCAGATGGGCTTTTCAAAAGGATTCCAGAGAAATTGGATGTTCTGGAGATAGATATTGTGGCGTCCTTAAGCAACTAGCAGGTCAGAAGGTTCCTTTCCACAAATCCTCATCCTTTTGCAGGCCAATGGGATGCTCTTACCTGTGCTTGGAACTTCAGGAGGGGATATGTCTTTCCTCCTATTCCCCTGATCTTCAGGCTTCTCAATAGGATAAAGAGGGAGCACATGGAAACTATAGCAGTGATTGCATTTTGACTGACAAGGCCCTGGTTCCCTCTTTTGTGGAGCCTCTCAATACATGATTTAATGAACTCCCAGCCAAGCCGGACCTTCTGTTTTAAGGGTTCCTGTTGCATCTATCACATGGGACACTCCAGTTGAAGGCCTGGAGACTGAGAGGAGACAACGAAGAGAGAAAGGTTTCTCTGATGCAGTCATTTCTACCCTGTTACAGACCAGGAGAAGGAACAGCTTGACCGCCTATTACCAGACCTGGTATGTATTCAGTAGCTGGGCAACCAGAAAGTGTCTCCTTGGTAACTCTCTGCAGCAGAGTTATTGAGTTTCCTGCAGGAAGGATTAGACAAAGGATTTAGCCTTAATACCTTTAAGGTGCAAGTCTCTGCCTTATCGTGCCTACTTCATTCCGAAATACCCCTGGCACCCAGCATTTACACACGATCTTCAATTACCTGTTTGAACATTTACCAAGATTTTCACATTTTTGGTGTAATCAGAGTGCTGGGGTGATCGGCGTTTCTGACTCCTGCAGACCGTCAAAACGGATGATCCACTGTCCGTTCATGTCTACTATATTTCTCACAGAGCAGGAGTCATTTAGATTAGATAGGCAGTTAGTTTAGTCTTATCTTTGCAATTGATAGGTGCCCTCGAAGGCACAGATGGACCTTTTGTACCTCAGGCTAGTCTATTTCTGATATATTGGTTTATATCAACTCTTTAGCTCAGTAATTTTTCTCTTTTTACTAAGGTTGTACAGCGAAGACGTTATGTAAAATATATATCCTAGGATATTATTATAGTTGACAATTTGGGTACACAACATTAGACTGACCTTTAAATCTCCTATAGGCAACTGTTTAGGCAACATTCCTAATTTCTAAATAGTTTTGCTACCTTGAATATGGTAACTACTGCTAAAAAAAAATATTCTGTTTTTGATACAGTCCCTATACCTCTTCCCTCTGTTGAGGGTAATTGTTTTGATACAAAAAGTAGTATATTAGCAACAGAATCACTATAGGTCTGTACTATTACCAGTTAAAGGACCACTCTAGGCACCCATACCACTTCAGCTTAACGAAGTGAAGCAGCAATAGCACTTGGTTACTTAATGTGAAGTATGTCTATGTTTTTATAAACATAGCAGTTTCAGGAGCATGCAATCATCAAAGGAAAGCATTGGTTGGCTCTTGTGTATGTGTGGAAAAAAACTGCACGGCCAATCAGCATCTCCATGGGGAGCGTTCAGCGCCTCCATGCAGACTCAATCTAATACACTGCCCACAGATCCAATATACTGCCGCCCCTCCCTCCACTTTTAATACACTGCCCCTACTCCCAGCAATCTAATTTAAAACACTGACCCCCCTCATCCAATTTAACACACTACACAGAAAGGTCCCCCAAGCCCCTTTTCCCTACCTTACGATGAGCCGCCCGTCCTCCAGTTCCAGCCTGGATTCTCTGCTCAGGCAGGCCAGATGCTCCTCTGGCACTGCGAGCAGGAGGAAAGGTGGAGTGGCTGGCCTGCAGGAGCATGCAATCATTCGTGGGAGGGAAGACCATAATCAGACAGGAAATATCTTTGCAGCCACAACACAATGTGATCCCAGGGCAGGGGGAGCCGCAAATACATCCATTGCAGGGCCGCAGGTTTGACATGTTTGTTCTACAATTAAAGTCTGGAAGGTGATCAGGTGGGGGGGGGTGTGTGTGCGCGTGCGTATGTATGTATGTATGTATATATATATATATATATATATATATATATATATATATTATATATATTATATATATACATATACACACACACACATACACACACACACACACACACACACACACACACACACACACATACACACAAAAGAAAAGAGATGCACTCTTTTCTTTTGTTTATATATCTTCAACACGGGATTGCACCTAGGCTAAATTGGATTATTTACACGAAAGGGTAGTGCCAAGAAAATTTTTTTGTGTATATATCTCTGTTGCAAATATGCACAATTTAGGTCTTCTAGTTAACCCCATTGTATTCAAGAAAGTACATTTGAATACCACAAGACCTATGGGATGGTAATGTAAGCTGCACTGAGAACTGAATCAACACCCAAGCATATTCTACCTTTTACATAAAATTGTATATGGAGAGCTATAGTTCAATTATTTTTGCCTACAAATGTAAAGCATCTTTCGTGCAGTCCTCCTGCAATTCATTAAAGGAATACTCTAGTGACAAATACTAACATTTTGGACGAGGCATGAACTTTATGACAACTGGACAGACTTCATGAGAGCTCTTCATCCGATATAGTTACTCAGAAGGGCAAATTCATCACAAATTGAGACTTACTTCCCTAGGTTTTAAGTTTCCTGCTTTTACGCATTACTCTGCTTGTATTGATACAACTCACTCGGTTGCTCTTTACTATTGGCATACTGGGCCTCTTTTTAGAGGGTATAGTTCTCACCTATTACTAATGTATGTGACATGTGTTGGCATTTACCTATGCTAGTACTAGTCTTTTCTAAATATGCCAATGCCAGCTTTGATGTCTATTTAGCAACTACTTTTAATATTTTAGACAGAGTTACCTATACCCAGGTTTCTATGAGCCTTGCACTGTGCATTACTCATGCTCAAGATGCTATTATAACTTGGTAACAATTTATTCTATGACTGTATGACGCTATCATGTCAATAAAACAAAAAATGTAAAAGAAAAAAAACAAACATGTATTCCTGTCACTATAGCTGTGAAAACTTAATTTGGGTACCTGACCCTCATGTTAACAATGTAATAGGTGATTCTACTTCTCTTTATTCTAGCGTCACATGGGTCTCCTCGCAGCTGGCCTCACCTAGCCTCCTTAGCCGAGCTCAACAAACTCTCAGCCAATTCAATGCTTTCCCCATAGGAAAGAATTAGTAAGCCAACACGTATGGGCACCAAAACTAAGCACTGCACTAATCACCATCTTCTCAGAGATGCAACTGAATCAATGCATCACTACGAGGAACTGTTCAGCGGCTCGATGCAGAGAATGCATGTGTTACTAGGCAGTAATGTAAACGCTTCCTTTTCCCTGTAGGGACAGGCTACATACACTCAGCAGAACAACTACATCAACTTGTAGTTGCTCTGGAGACTAGTGTCCCTTTAATGTCAACTTTGCCTGCCCCTTAGATGCAGGCACGTTAATTTCCCAAATAAAGTATTCAGTGAATATACTCTTGAATTAGGCCTTAACTTACCTACATGTCTTAGTCCCTCAGATCCTGCAACATGGTTAGAACATTTCCAAGTCTCAAGAGTGGTACTTTAACGTCCATTTCAAACCTTATAATTAATGCCATTACCTTCAAACCAGGAAATGTAAATAAAGATCTTCATTGTCTCAGACAAAAAAAATTCAAATCTAAAAATGAAGGATTCATCCAGTTGACTAAAATGCCACTGGGAGATGGCAGATCAACATCTCCATTTATGTCCCCGACTGGATCCAGGCTGAATCTACAAATCTAAATACAAACTTTATCAAGCTTTTTACATTGATTGGAAGTTTGCAACCACACTGACAAGCATAAACATTCAAAATTTGGCAGTAGTTTATCAATTCCCTTCGAGCACAAACTTACACTCACTGTAATTATGATGCTAGGAGTGCCCTGGCTCCCTCCCAGAGTAATTGTCAAACTGTTTTAAGACCCGAGTCATGGCAGATGTCCACAACCTTGTAGATTGCCTCTGGGTTCAGTCAGCTCGACTGAGCCAAGCAAGGCCATACTCACTGGCTGAGAGAAGTCCAGTATTGGATCTCCTTAGCGGATAATGGTTTCAATGCAATTTGAGACGGTGGCTTCTCTTCTGTTGCTTTATGGATTAAGAATTTGCTGACTGAACTAATAACATACCAAAGATAAATAGCAGTACTGTTATTGACAGTGTCTTTGACCTCAAACACTTAATAAAATGGTGTAAACTTCAAAAGGTATATTTGTTTTCTGGATGTACTTTATAATGCAAGAAATTACAGTTGGAAACAGACACATAGCCGTGGGAAAACTGGATTAGCTTCCAGTAAGTACAAATATAACATGGTACTAAAATGTTGTGATAATGCAAATACTTCGAATAAATTAAGCCTTTTAATATGCCCTATTAAGAAATGATTAGAAGAAATATAACACAAAACAAAGTAGATTAGTCTTGCTTGTTTTGTAGCAAGTGCAAACTACCAAAGGTTTTGCATTGTAAAAACTATATAATAGCTCAATTGAACAGAACAGGAAGAGCTTGAAATCCATATTGGTAGAGTTAAAACAAAATGTATTTCATAATTTTATTGATGGCATTTATCCCGTGGTTTAACATGTTAATTATACTGTAATAAACATGGCTTTAATATTAAACTTACTTATTATCCAAAGTCACCACAGTCCATTTGTGTAAATATAAAAATATATACTTAATACTTTGTACAATACTGGTTTTTGGTCCAAACAAAAATGGATCAGAAAAGCCAATAAACTAATGCTTTAAAGAATTCCCAATTATCTTTAAAGACTACATTTTTATTATGGAATTAGGCAACTTTGAATAATGAGATTTACACAATAAAATTTTAGACCATTCTAAACAAAAAGATTTGCTGTAACAAAAAAAATTAAAATTCAAGTTCACAGATTCAGGTTATGCAGAAAAGTATGCAGCAAAAAACAAATTATATTTACACGTAGATCATAAAACAAAAAAGAAAAAGGGTGACGGGAAACTAGAAAGAGGGTAGGCAAAAAAAAAAAAAAAGCGCATTTATTTATTGACCGTAGTACTACATATCTAACAAATCCTGTTCAGGGACCATCCTGTAATCAATCATCATCTATCAGAAAAGGTTTGGAGCACAATACAATCAATTTCACACATACACCAGCACAAACGCAGCATAGAAATCAGTCATCATTCTCTACGGTATACAGATCCCCTCACTGGTAATTAAAACTTCAAAGCGCTGATAAAATAGTGGTGCAGATGAAAGAGGTATTATACAAAAGCCATTCACTGTGCAGGCTATATTCACTTGTATAGCCAGATCATGCCAAGTTGTGATGGGGTTGCAGTAAGCTGATATTTCGCTTAAGAAACTTCCCATCACCAAGGTTTAGTAATAGAAGAAAAAAAAAAAAAAAAAAAAAAAGGTAAATGTTTCAGTAATATATGTCCTTGGGCAGATCTGACTTCCACTAAACACAGCATGAGGTTCACTTCAGTATATGCACAATGCAGGAAACCATTTGTTGTAATAACTGCAAGTCTTTGCATGAAATTTTGACTTATTTCCTTCTCCGGGCAGTTTTTATCTTTCGATTGGATATTGTAGATGCAGGAGTACTTCTTCCATTGGCTCTGAAAAGGAGATGATAATGTATGTGTTAATGCTGCTGGTAGGATCAATAATATATTTGTTGAAAATATATCAGAGTACCACGGAGTTCACAAAACAATTAAAGTGCATTCTTAAAACACACCGTATAGCATATAACACTGCAAAATGCCGACATCTCGGTGAAAAAAGTGCCAATTTACTTTAGTCTATGCAATATTAATCCTGTACTTAATGCATCTCTACGAGGAACTCCCAGTACTTAGATGTTCGAGCAATTAAAAAAGGAACTAAATTTTCCAAATTAATATTTGTATATGCATTTTATTTATTTTTATGGTGGCTGAATATTTAGCCTGCTTAATATCTTTTAGCATCTGTTGTACTGGGAATTTCTGTATTAAAACCTTACAAGCATGAGAAAGGTGAACTGTGTGTACAGTGTTTTCACCATTCCCATTTATACTGATTAGTTACTGAATTAATGCAAACAATTCATATACATGAACAAGTTCTCCTCCAGGAAAGCACAAGTTAAAAGATATACATAGATTTAGTTTACTTCTACCAAAAGTGGACAGACCTGCTCCACCATGAACAAGTGCAAAATTACAATTCCTTGTCACGAAGCTGTAAGCTGTGTATGGTCAACAGCATGGCGTTAAAGAGGTAGTTTTTAAAATTAAAAAAAATAAATTAAAATTTAAAATTTGTATCTACATGTTTAGATATCTCTATTAAATGAATATATAGAAACATTATGTGAAGATAAAGTACTGTTGCTATTTTAGCCATGGACTGAATTCCCTAACATTTGCCACTAGATGGCCAACATGTTCTCTAAACATTTTTTTTCCATCGTCATTTTGTATTTTTAATTATGGGGGATTCACAGTCTGATAAGAGACATTGCCAGTATTTGCCAGCACTTACCCCATGTTGAAGGCTGGGGCCTGGTTAAAAGTTGGTGCCTGGTTAAAGGCAAAGCCAGATGATGATGAAGGCTGTGAGGAGGATCCTGTTGAACCGGAGCCAAATGTGAACACCCCACCAGGGGAACTTCCACTAGCGAAGTTGAAGTTTGTATTGCCTCCAAACTGGAAACTAGGGGCGGCTAAAAGACAGTATGAAATATGGTTAATGTTTTAAGAAGCTTAAGTGCATTAACTGTAATATACTATACCAGTAGAAATTAAAAAAATAAGCCAATACAAAAAAAAAAAAATGACATTCTAAAATTTACACATGCACGCAGGCAAATTTGGCACTTTGTGTGCGTTTAATCAACCATAATTTAAGACTTTCTACTCGGGTGCATGTATGTGTATCTATTTTGTAAAGGAATAGGGCTTTCTTATGATACCATACAAGTATATGAAGGCAATAAAAACAGCCATTTAAGAAAATAATGTTTTTGGTCAGCAGCTTCCTAGTGGTTTTCAATAAGCTGCATCTACTGCTATATTTGAGGAGGGAAAGGTAGAGGAAGAAAATATCTCTGGCTGCAAGTGACAGCCATAGAGGAGTTTTGGCGCCCAGTTATAAAAATTATGATTTTTTTTTCCATTGAAAGCAGTACTTCTATAAACTGGTTAACAGAGTCAAGAAGCACTTCAGCGAGCAGACGTGAATTACTGTTGTAAAGCTAAACCTTCATAAAATGTGGTATTCTGAATCCAAAACCTCTACACAAAAGTAAAGATTTGTGGAAAGTAGACACCTTAGGATACTTAAGAGCATTAGACAATCGATTTAACCATTTTATCACAAACCTGGCTATCTTTAGTTTTGTTTTCCAAAATACATTTAGTTTCCATAGATAGTTTCAAAAACTGTATCAAACTACAGTAAGGTCGTCATATTTACATTCTGATGCAATCCTCGAGTACAACTGCAGCAGGCACCCTTAAAAGGTGCTTCAGGAACCTGTAATGTCTGCCCTTACCAGCATAATTAATGAAAACACCATCCACCAACGTTCTCTGCTGGATTGCCAGGTAATGTCTGCCTTAGCAGACATACAATGTTAAAGTAAGAAACAAGTGGACAATCATACAACCACCTGGGTGTTAATATGCTCTGCATTGTTCAGCAACAGCCTGTGTCTGCACATCAACTGCACTGGTGTTCTCAGCTCTTCCAGAGTTCCTCAGTATTGTGTGTCCTATTCACGGGACAGGCATAAACCGAAGGGGACGCGTGAGTATCGCCAAATAAGGGAATGGTGGGAGGGGAATGAATTTTCTTCATAACAGGATTCTGGCTACTTGTCCTATAGATGACAATACTATATGGTACTGCCACCACAGGACAGGAAAAATACATCCATACATTTGGTGAAGTGACACTATTAGTGATGTTGATATACTAAACAGTGACAACTTTGGGCATTAATTCTGAATCTAACCCTCTAACCTAACTCTAACCCAAGCCTATGCCCATTCTGACATCAGAAGGATTTACCCTACACACTATAGAGCTGTGTGATCACAACATGATCGGGCGATCTCCTTCACACGCTGTAGATCTGTGTGGCTGTCCACCAATTCAACTTTATAAATATTCAGAATGGTGAAAGTTTGTCCTAAAAATGAGGTCCAAGCAGGACTAGTGTACCATAGAACATATAGGGGAACTGGTGTAGACTGCTTTAGTAAGTCATTAGGTCACAAAAAATAACTTCTCAGATTGGCACAGAGTAAGTGATAAAAAAAAATCTTAAGCTATTCATAGAGAATTTAGGGTTTAAATTGGCCCATATGCGAGAGGGGAGGTGTAATCCACCTGGAATTCCTAGATTTATGCATACCCTCTGGCCTGTACCTTTTCTTCAGGGCCAGTTTGTAGATTGAGATGGACACCAAGAATATAAAAACTATGACATGTAAATGAGCCACGTGATTGCCTGATAGTCAAATCTAGTTTTGAGTTGCCAATTTCCCTACTGGTACTCACCAGGTAGAGAGCAATTACTGTACTAGCAATGCCAGTAATAAGGATTTTCTGTTATCTTGTTTTTATAATGGTTTGTTGGTGTAAATCATTTGTTTTCTATGTATGCACAGTGATTATTTTTGTTCATAGTAAACCTCCCTTTATAACAGGACTTGACATGAGATCGTCAAGATTGATGCAACCAAATGGGCTAATTTATAAAATGCCTTGGTAGAGGCAGCTTTTAAAACTAGAGTTAAGCTTGGGCGGTGTAACCATTATTGTAATGCAGACAAATAACATTTTAACCCATTAACCAACAGAACACAGTCATGGGCATGCTTGGTAGTGTGGTCTGTGACAACGTATTGTGATCTACATAGTTAAATATTAAAAAAATAATTAGTACTGTACTAAGCTGTCCAATTTTACTGTCAGAGTGGTGTGTACACTGGTTACATCTACTGTAAACATTATGTATACAGTAAACGTAAATGCACAGTACACACAGGCTTACCCTCTTTTACACAGAATGTGTGTGTCAAGGTGCTTTCTACCCAACTAAAATGCCATTAGTTTAACATATATAACAGCATGGATATGCATAGGATAGATACAATCTGACAACAGACTAGGCCAAACAGTCTCACTTACCAGCAGCAGGAGCTGTACTAGATCCAAAAGCAGGTTGGGTCGCTTGCTGGCCAAACATAGGGGGCTGGGCAGAGCTAGTTAGGGAGCCAAAGCCTGGCACAGATTGAGAACTAGCTGGAAACAAGGACGTTGTTGATGAAGTGCCGAAAACAGGAGTAGCAGACTGGTTGGCCCCAAATGCTGGCACAGGGTTGGAGGCTGGCAGTCCACTGGGAGCAGGAGGAGTTGGACCACCAAATATAAACGGAGAGGAGCTTGTGCCTGGGAAGAAATGGAAAACAAGAATTAGCACCCACATTGTGGAATATGTCTAATTAGTCAACATTTCTCTAGTTTGGTTGAAGAATATGTTAATAAAAAAAAATAATAAATAAATAAAATAAAAAAATCACACGTGAAGAGTAGTACAGTATAAATACAAGTGAAAGTAAAACTTGACTAGCCATGACAATTTAGTATGCAGACCAATATGTAAACTGTTTGGAAACCTTGCTATTTGTCAGAAATAATACATATATACACATTACATTTAACAAAGGTAAATAACCAAAAGCAATCCATGGCATTTTTACATTCAGAATAACAGAGGTGAAGGTTGGTGGTAATAAAGCTTCCGATCTTACAAAAAAACAAACAAAAAAAAAACACAACTTTCTAGTGGAATACACTATTTGCATCAACGACTAATGCACAGGTCATTATTTTGGTGATCAAGTGTCTTTCATACCTAGAGCATTTGATGTGTTTGTTGCTCCAAAGTTGAAGCCTGGTGTTGTAGACACTGTGCTGGTGGTACCTGCTCCAAAGACAAATGGAGTAGCAGAAGCAGCTGTGCTGGTGGCTGTCGCTGGCTTACTTTCCGAACCAGCAAACACAAAGGCTGGCTTTGATTCAGCTGTGTTGCCAAAAACAGAACCACCCGCAGTGCTGGTGGGCTGGCCAAAGACAAATGATCCTGTGGGATTGTTGACTGCTCCAGAGTTTCCAAACATGCTGTTTGAGTTTGCCGAAGTGCTTGTAGGGGCTGTATTACCAAACACACTACTAGAACTGGTAGTGCTAGCAGGGGCGGCACCACTGAACATGACTGAACTTGCAGAGGCATTCAAAGTAGCTGCACTGCCAAACACACTGGTAGAGCTTGCAGCAGTTGTAGTTGGGACAACGCTGCCAAATACATTACCAGAGCTGGAAGAAGCACCAGGTGCTACAGAGCTTCCAAATACACTGCCTGAGTTCGTGGAGGCACCTGATGGAGCTGCACTTCCAAACACACTGCCAGAACCTGCAGGGGCGCTTGTCTGAGCAGCACTGCCAAACACACCACTGGGATTCACGGGCGTACTAGATGGAGCAGTAATACCATATAAACTGCTAGAGATTGCTGAACTCTGCTGAACACCACTGGTGGAACCACTGCTCATAAAACTGAATGTTTGCTTTGATGCTCCAGCATCTAGAAATATTAAATAAAAAAAATAAAATAAAAAAAAAGTCAAAGCTAGGACAAATTCTTAATATAACAAATGAAGATATACAAAAATACGGGTAAAACAATTTATATATAAAGTGTACAAGAAATACAGCAATATCATATGGGCCATTTCTAATAAAAGCTTTAGACTGATTTTTAAATTGTTTTATTATTTTTTTTTTTTTTTTTTTACACATTTTAAAATCTGAATACGAATACATCCTTTGCTTAGATCACAGATTTTATTTACTGCATATCGGCACAGCAACCCACTTCATAAAGTCTGTACTGAGTGGCTCAGAAAAACAAATCAACATATGCAGGTTTACTTCATTTACGGTTTAAATACGTTATGCCAACATTGAAGCATTGTGCATGCTTCCACATACAGGGTTATTCAATGAAGCAAGATTTCAAAGTGAATTCGAAAATGTGCTGTTTTGGCCTTAATTTAAAAATTCAGCCATGCTTCAAATTTGGCTATTTTGTCTTAACATTTGCAATTCCCACTTTAGTGAATAAACCCGGATAGTGTGAATTGTACTATTCACACTTGGGATACGCCCAAGCTCAGATATATTTAAAATTACTTAGGGCAATTGAAGTTCTGAGACATAAACCTATGTACTGTATAATATGGGTGCACTTTATTTTTTTTAAAGGGACACTCTAGTCACCAGAACAACTACAGCGTATTGAATTTGTTCTGGTGAGTAGAATCATTACCTTCATGCTTTTTGCTGTAAGCACTATCTTTTCATAGAAAATGCAGTGTTTACATTACAGCCTAGTGATAACTTCACTGGCCACTCCTCAGATGGCTGTTAGAGATCCTTCCTGGGTCATGGCTGCCTAAAATACATCCAAACATTCAGTATCTCCTCCCTCTGCATGCAGACACTGAACTTTCCTCATAGAGATTCATTGATTCAATTAATCTCTATGAGGAGATGCTGATTGGCAAGGGCTGTGTTTGAATCATGCTGGCTCTGCCCCTGATCTGCCTCATTGTCAGTCTCAGCCACTCCTATGGGGAAGCATTGTGATTGGATCAGGCCACCAATTATGATGTCAGCAGACTCTTTTGTTTTGCTTTTTAGGCAAACAGCATGCAGATCTACAGCTTCTGGCTTGAATACAGTAAGATGTTGCTATATTTATGGAGGCATGAGGGGCCCAGGGGGGCTAGATGGTGGTTTTAACCCTATAGGGTCAAGAATACAGGTTTGTGTTCCTGACCCTATAATGATCCTATACTAACTGTTTAGATATCGGGACTAAACTTAAATCCAAAGCTTTTTACTTCCCTTAACTTCCCCTAGCGCTCTGGTCTTGCTGTAGCCGCCACTCCTCGCTGGCCGAGACATCAGTACGGATGACCTCAGCCAACCCAATGCTTCACCATAGGCTAGTGAGCACAAATCAGAATCTCCTCATAGAGATGCATTGACTCAATGAATCTCTAAGGGGGGTATTCAGCATCTCTACACAATGCGTAGAGATACCAAAGGTCAGTCCTGCAATCTTTGCAAGACCTCAACCAAAAAGTAAAAGTGACAGCCACTAGAGGTGGCATTAGGAAGAAGTAACACAGCTTTGTCAGAAAATGCAGTGTTTACACTGTTTAATGCGCATGGTATTTGCCCCAGAACCACAACATTAAGCAGATGATGTTCTGGTGCCTATATTGTCTATTTAATTCAAATCAATTTTACCAGCAGCAGATTCTATATGAAAGAATATAAAGGTCAAACAGAAGATTAATTTACTCAAATTAAACGCATTCATAATGTTAGAGTGTACCATCTAATTCAGGGATCCTCAAACTTTTTAAACAGGGGGCCAGGTCCCTCAGACACTGTTGGGGGCCAGACATTAAAAAATATTAGCGAATTCCTATGCACACTGCGCATAGGGACATAAATACACAGACTGACCGCTAATTTTGCTTACTTTTTTTGCAGGAGGGTGGCTGTGGCTAATAGGAGTCGGCATGTCACTTCCTCCCAGCACTAATTTGCGGCCGCAAATTTATTATTTTTTTTTAAAGGGGCCCGGTCACTCTATTGCACGGCCGCAGCGCTGACCGGGCCCCTGAAGATATAGGGCCCATCAGGTGGCCCTGAGTGCTTGGGCTGGGTTCTGGACCATAGAGAGTCAGATCCGGCCCATGGGCCGTAGTTTATGGACCCCTGTTCTAATTATTATATTCACAGTGAAATACCGAGGACCAGCAGCACATTTACAGCAACTGCCATGTTGCAGCAATCCGGTACTTCTCATAGATAAGCATCTCCAGCTTTTAAAGTCATGCTGGGTGTCAGTGCAAGATTTGCACGTTCTAAGGTGACCCCAGTAGGGATCGACAGATTATTGGCAGATATTCAGAATTTTTTTTTTTTTTTTTTTAAAGTATCGGTATCAGACGATATTCACCGGCAATACTGATAATGAATGAGTGGGCCAGCGCGTCCATAAGACGGCACAAGCGGGCGCCTTAGAGTGCACCGGCCCGGGGGTGCGCACAGCTGTACAGGAACTTATTTTTCCTGTACCTGGCCGAACTGAAAGTAGGTGCTCACAGAGAGCACTTCCTGTCAGCCCGGCCGGGTGCAGGAAAAATAAGTTTGTGTACTGCGGTGCGCTCTGCCTGGCCACGCTACTAGGAGACAAACCGGGGACCAAGGAGGAGAGAGAGAGGGGCACTGTGCGACAGGGGACGGGGGAAAAGAACACCGAGACAGGGGACGGGGGAAAAGAACACCGAGACAGGGGACGGGGGAAAAGAGACAGGGACGGGGAAAAGAACAATCGGTTAAGGGGACGGGGAAAAGAACAACCCCAGGGACGGGGAAAAGAACACTGAGACAGGAGATGGGGGGAAAGAATATCACGGAGACAGGGATGGGGAAAAGAAATTGAGACAGGGATGGGGGAAAAGAACACTGAGACAGGGGATGGGGGAAAGAACACTGAGACAGGGATGGGGGAAAAGAACACAGACAGGGGGGGAAACAGGTGATGGGGGGGAAGAGAGGAGAAGGGAAGTTTTTATATTAGATTAAATTCTTTTAAAAAGTCTAATTTTAATAAAATTATAGGAAAAAAAAAAACTACTTAAAAAAAAAAAAAAAAAAAAAAAAAAAATCGAGAAAAAAACAACAAACCAACCAAAACAACAAAAAAAACAAAACATTTTCTGTTTCCGGTCAAGGGCATCCTGAATTTTTGGTTTCAGCCCAGAATTTTCATTTCGGTGCATCCCTGGCAGTTACTAGTGGGCAGATTGGAAGTGATCCCTTACTCTTCCTGTCCAGCCTTGCACACAAACTGGAGACGATGGAACAGCACTGAGTTTTACACAATGTCAAACTGTACCTGCAGCTCTGTTATTAAGGCTGACTGGACTAAGGAGGCTCCAGTTATTTCTATATCCCCACCAGCCTATTTAAGTTAAAAAATGCACATCATAAGTGCTGAAAAAAGACACCTACTCTGCCTAATGGGAAATATGGCCCTGCAAGGTGTGATTAAGCCAAAACAGAATACTTCACAATTGAAAGTCTGCACTAGGAAAAGCCACTAGAGGTATGCTGGCCAACAAATTTAAAAAAAAACTTAATTTTCTGACAAACAACAATGCTTACATTTGTCAGACCATAGTGACAGCCTCTATGCACCAAAATTAAAGGATCACTATAGGGTCAGAAACACAAACTTGTATTTCTGACCCTATAGTGAAAACCCCCCATTTAGGTGGCTTGCCTTACCCTTCCCCTTTAACACCCTCAGAATGGGTTAAAACTCGGCGCTGGCCCTGCCCCCTTGACCTCAAAATTTCCGATTTTTGGCCATCCTAATGCTTTCCCATGGTGAAAACATTGGATTGAGTAGAATCGGCAAGGAGCGGGGCCAATCAGCACCTCCTCAGAGATGCACTGAACCAAGAGCTGTTTACTGTGCAGCCTGAGCCAGGAAGCCCCTCCAGTGGCCATCTAGAGGTGTCCCTAGGGGCAATGTAAACACAGCCTTTTCTCTGAAAAGGCAGTCTTTACATGAAAATGCCTGAAGGCAATAATTATACTCACTAGAACAAACTATATTAAGCTGTATTTGTTCTGGTGACTATAGTGTCCCTTTAAGATTTAGTGGTTTTGATGCCTCTAGAGATTTATTGGCTGCCATGGTTTGACAACAAACTGATAAACACATGCATGCAACTGGCTCACAGCATCTACGCATGTTATATTAGCAGCTATTACGCTACTGACCTCTTTGTCATAGTTTTGATACAAAATGAAGAAGATAAGGAGGGAAGACAAAAAAAATAAAAAAAAAAAATAAGTCAGCCTAGGAAACATGGAGAAGAAAATAAATAGTAATCAAAGGGACATGTATCATTTTGAGACAAATGTCTCATTTAAAAGATTGTTGCCTTAATCTGCAGGAAAATGATTTCATTTTTTCAATTTTTATTTGCTTCTTTCTTATGTTCTCCACACCCACTCCATGGGGATCACAGATCAATATCCCATCGCTAGGAATGCAAAGGTGCCCTGGGCCTGACTGACAAATTTCCACATGTACAGTTGGAAGATTTCTTCATCTTGCAGTAAAATGAAATCTGACATTTATAAACATTACAAAGTTTTTCTTGTTTTAATTTGCGTTTAAATTTATTTATTTATTTTAAATTACGTGATGCATGTCCCTTTAACTTGCTTCTCTTTCCAAGTAATTGGGAGTTAACTTTGAATTGAAATTAATCGCATTTAAAAAGGAACAAACCAAGCACCATTACCTCTACAGTGCATCGTAGGACAGTTTGACTTCTAACCTGGGTTTCACCAGGTGTCGCTCCTGGCTTCCTCTCAGCTACAATGAGCGTTGAAACTACCTAGGAGTTTAAGTGCTCACCTGAGCCAAACCTCAAAGTGCATGGCCAGCTCATTGGCTGACAGCCACTACGCTTGGCTCAAGCAGAGAGCTTCAAGCTGGGATTGAGGCTAGGAGAAGTGCCTGGTGAACTCCAGGTAAGAGGTTATACTGTTCTTAAGAGGTTTGAATGCTTACATTTTGGGGCACCAGGATATTCCTTGCATCTTGTGGTTATGGTGCTTGGAGTTTTCCTTTAAAGAACTATAAAATGGGAAGCGCAGCCTGTTTCTGCAAATACCAGATGTTAATGTGAGTAAGGGAAGAATGGTATATGATTTTGACTGAATATTTTAACTAATTTCCCAAATATTTTAATGGAAATAGTCTCCCCAGGAGGCAAAGGTTTACTACTTTATGTCAACACTTACCTGTTGTGGTGCCGGGTTGAGAGCCAAAGGGAAAGAGTGGTTTTGCAGTCTTATCAGCATCATTCTTCTCTACCTCTACAGGCTTAGACACACCAAATGCAAATGTGGGTGGTGTTGGATTATTGTCTTTGGTTTGCTCTGATTTTCCAAACGCAAACTGATTTGGTTCATCCCCCTCACTTTTCTTGCCAAAAAGCAGTGACTGTCCTGTTGTAGTAGAGTCTGGCTTTTCATCTTTTCTTCCAAAAACAAAAGAAGACGGTGCTTCCTTATTTTGTTCTACCTTGCCAAAAGAAAAGCTTACAGCAGGTGTTTCATTTTTTTTGTCAGATTCTTTTGTTCCAAAAGTGAGTGGCAAACAGGACTTGTCTTTTGTAAGCTGGCTTTGTATGCCAGAGCTCACTGAACTCTCTGTAGCAGTAGATGAAGCAGCAATACTGGATGTAGTTCCAAAAGAGAAACCACTTGTCACAGACTTATTTATGCCTTCCTTGTCAGTGGAGGCAGGAATACTAGTACCAAACTGAAATCCTGATACTGGATTACTTGTGGCAATGGTGCTTCCAAATGAAAAGCCAGTATCTTTCTTTTCATCAGCTGCCTTAGCAGCAGAGGATGCTATACCAAATTTAAAGTCCCCAGTAACTTTTGGGAAAGAAAATCCAACAGAAGGAGCATTTGTGCTAGGGGTAAAGTCTGTATTGCTTGAAGACTGTAATCCAAACTTAAAGGATGGAGCGGGAGACCCAGAGGAAATGGATGGAGATGCAAAACCTAACAAAACCAACAGAAAACAAAAAAATTACTAAAAAGCACAAACACAAAACACCTGAAACCACCCCCACAACTCTTACATTTTCTACAAATCAACAGGCTTTAGAGTTTATGTAGTTCTAACAAAGCTAATCTGATTTTCTTACTTTCAAAAGCACTGTTCTAGTTTATTAATTTTAGTAGCACAGCAAGTGTATGGGAGCTGTGTTACATTTGTCATCTCGTAGTTTAGTAATGAACTATTTTTGGAGCAAAAAAGGGAAAAACAAAGATGACAGTAAAGGCTTACAAAGATAATACCATTTAAAAAAAAAATAATTACAGTGGAGCAGGCCACACACACACACACACACACACACACACACACAGTCTGAAGTGCGAGAACATAGATTGACAAGGACCAACATTCTGTACATGGCATTTGGCTGGCAACATTCTTATATTTTAAAAACTACCGTGACCCATTCTTGCACTGTATTAAAAAATAATCATACTTTGCAAGATACGTTCATTAGAACATTCAGGTCTCTATTGAACTAGTAAAAAGTGGAATGCACCCTCACTGCTTATAATGACCTAGTGTGCAGAGGATATACCGTATGTGTTGTAAAGAAAAAACAAACCAGATAATCTGTAAAACCTGAATTTAGTATGCAGCTCAAGACTTCCCTTCAGCCAGCGAGGCAGCAATCCTAGCTGTGTTTGGTGAGAAGTTGCTTTCTTCACCTTGAAATGAACAGGGCCTACTACTGACTCTCCAGCAGTACATATCGTACAGTACTTCAAGAAACAAAGACTAGTGAGTGACTGAGTTCATCTCTCAAACACATTCATAATAGGTAGCTGTTACAAGTTAATGGTCCTCATTTTGCATTTAGGTGATCAGTAGGATAAACTACTTAACTGTTAAGGTGGGAAAAAAGAATACATGGGAAAGATTGTTCAACATTTAAATACAAAGACATTATTAAGATTGGAGAAAGAAAAAACACAATGATAAAGGGACACGGAGTAATTAGTAATTTTACAGAGTTGAAGGTTAGTGACTAACAAGCGATCTAGAGGATGATCTCTGCCAGTCTCCACCAGTGGACAGTTAAAAAGAAAGCCCATCACATACTAGAATATTTAGGCTCTAAATGTGTCTTTTTACACTTTACAACTAGGGAGGAAATTGAGTTTTACATAATCTGTTAGATTTTCTAACGTAAAGATCATATTAGATGGTACTTTACCAGTAACAAACATTACATGGACGCATCTAATAACAGTATGTGAGGTATGGATTTCCATAATCTATTGGTGAAATATTTCACAATGGGATACCTGAAAGGGAGGACAAGAGCATACAAAGACAGTTTTGTCCCCCAGCAAGCTTTCCTCTTCATACAAATCCAAACAGACATTTTGTTTCCCCACCATTGTCATTCCTGGGAGAAAACCGATATAACTTGCATACAAAAAAAAAACAAAACTGAAAATGAACAATGTAGGTGCTTTAAGCAACGTTTATTTCCAGAGCTACTGTAGTTTTTGCCCCCATAAAGAGACAAGTTAGTGCCCACCTTTTTGTTCAGATTTTCTGCCTGGTTTGGCACTCTCACACGCTACACATTTGGTAGCTTCACCCTTGTTTTGTACTAAACACACGTCACAATCCCAGCTTCCTGAAGGCTTCTTAAACTGATCCAACAATCCTAACTTGGGTGCCTCTGTCACGAGAGATTTCTTATTTGCAGGAGATGTTCCTATGGAAAAACAGATTTAAATTAGGTATGTATGCAGTGAACAGCTTGCTCATGTACAGACACCTGGTTTCTAAGCTGGCATAGGGTTAGTGCTGTCATAGAAGGACTAGTAAACTGACAATCACAGTTTGTTGGTTGTTAGAAGGTTGAAAATAAAGGTTTTCATGATTTTGATAAGACATCAAAAATTTGTCTAGGAAGCTCTAGAGCAGTGATGGCAAACTTTTTTGAGCCTGAGTGCCCAAACCGCAATAAATGCCAACTTTTTCCCCCTCAAAGTGCCAACATGGCAATTAAACCTTAATAGTGAGGTTTAAGTTTAGAAAAAACAACTCTTACAGTTTTCCGAACTAATTAACTTTTTTTTTTAAAGCAGAACACAGCAGAGTTCAACGATACAAATTTTAAATGATATAAATAGATAAAATTATTATATTTAGTAGTATCTCCAACAAATGCCCCACAGTCCGCCCCCCCACACACACACAGTCCTCCCACACACACAGTCCCCCACACACACACAGTCCCCCACACACACACACACAGCCCCACCACACACACACAGTCCCCCACACACACAGTCCCACACACACACACAGTCCCCCACACACACACACAGTCCGCCCACACACACAGTCCCCCACACACACAGCACACACACACAGTCCCCCACACACACACACAGTCCTCCACACACACACACAGTCCGCCCCACACACACACAGTCCCACCCCACACACACACAGTCCCCCACAGCCACACACACAGTCCACCACACACACACACACACAATCCGCCCCCACACACACACACACACAACCACACACACACACACAGTCCACACACAAACACACACACAGTCCGCCACACAAACACACACACACAGTCCGCCACACAAACACACACACACAGTCCGCCACACAAACACACACACACAGTCCGCCACACAAACACACACACACAGTCCGCCACACAAACACACACACACAGTCCGCCACACAAACACACACACACAGTCCGCCACACAAACACACACACAGTCCGGGGGGGGGGAGGGGGGGTAGGGGTGCTGTGTGCGTGTTGGGGGGGTTGGTAAAGATACATGAAGTATTTATTCCCCCCCTCCCCTCTTACCCTCTTATGTGAAGGAGGGGGGACACAGCCAGCCCTGGTGGTATGTGCCTCTGCAGCTCACCTGTCCTCCCACGCAATTCTGTGTGGAGCATTGCCGTGGTGCCACACACCCTGCTCGCGGGAGGACAGGAGAGCTGCTTCCCAGATTCCTCCCCCTGCCTACAGGTCCTCCTGACACAAAAGCAGAGTAGGTGCCTACCCTGCACTGCTGCCGACTGGCACCAGCAACCCTTTCACCCGGCAACCTAAGGCATCACTGCTCTAGAGCTTCCAGGAAAGTAGTCCTGTTTAGAAGGTTTGCGCTTGAAGAACGGGTCGATCCAGACTTCATCTTGCTCTGAGGTAAAGTCAGCCATTTGTTTGATCAATTCACTCAGTGAGGCTGCCAGTAATTCCATCTCAAAACCTTGGTCACAAATAGATTTTTGTACCGAAGCTATGTTTTTTGCCCTAGAATACAGCCAAATGGCTCTGCAGCCCACTGCAGAAACCCCAATATTTCCAGATGCAAGCTTCAGGGCCACCTTTATAGGGAGCCACACAAATCTTTAAGCCAACTGTCCATTCCTGAGAAAATTAGCCACTTTCCATAAATTTGCCAAGAAAAGCAGCCAGAGCGAGGCTCCAGCAATTGAGGACATGACTAACTGAAGGGAAATATTGTGTTAGTTCCTTTAATCCTACTGAATTGCTTATAGGAGAATTGGTTAAATTTTTTCCTCCTCTTTAGATAGTTAAAGGACCACTGTAGGCACCCAGACCACTTCAGCTTAATGAAGTGGTCTGGGTGCCAGGTCCTTCTAGGGTTAACCCATTTTTTTTTTTTATAAACATAGTAGTTTCAGAGAAACTGCTAGGTTTATGAATGGGTTAAGCCTTCCCCCTAATCCTCTAGTGGCTGTCTCATTGACAGCCACTAGAGGCGCTTGCGTGCTTCTCACTGTGATTTTCACAGTGAGAGCACGCCAGCGTCCATAGGAAAGCATTGAGAATGCTTTCCTATGCGACGGGCTGAATGCGCGCGCAGCTCTTGCTGCGCGTGCGCATTCAGCCCAGGAGGAGGAACGGAGGAGGAGAGCTCTCCGCCCAGCGCTGGAAAAAGGTAAGTTTTTAACCCTTTCCCCCTTCCAGAGCCGGGCGTGAGGGGGTCCCTGAGGGTGGGGGCACCCTCAGGGCACTATAGTGGTCCTTTAAGCCACTGCCACACAAACCTTGAGCACCAAGTACAAATCTTAAGCTTAAACCTAAAGTTTGCACATTTTTCAGGATCCATCCACATTCTAATTTAGCTGGATTAATTTTGGATGTAAGGAAAGGCTTTACACCTTCTGGAACTTCCTGATCTGCCCTGCTCCCCCACAGTTATAATGGCATCTGAAACTTGCCTTTCTCCTATTGTTCCCTCTTCTCTTCCTCTTTTAGAATTGGCTCTCATTTTCCAATCTTTTTCTCTTTAAAAGCATCAGACAAATTAGGTACTACTTTGGCTTATGTATTTTTCCTACATTTGGCAATCTTGACAAAATTGTCAAACGTAGGAAAACTACATAAGACAAAGTGGTCCCTAATTTGATGTTTTAAAGAAAAATAGACCAGAAATTAAAAAAAGAACAGATTCTAAAAAAGGAAGTGAAAGGAAACAATAGGAGAAAGGTAAGCTTGAGGTGACAGACCCACTTTAAGACCACTTCCTTGATGAATCTAATTCCAGAGAAAGGAAATGTATTAAAAGTAACCATTCTGTTCTTCCGCAAACATTTGTTGAATATTAGAGATAATGTATGCTTTCATCGTATTTTTCCTATTGGGCATCTCAAAGATCATTTTAAAATATGCTGCAGTACAATTTTTGTTTTTAAGTTATAAAAAAGTACATGAAGCTCAGGACAAATAATTTTGAAAGCCACTTTCGAGTTGTTTTGGCAATTCCACTGGATTAGACAACTAGAACAGTGATGGCTAACCTTGACACCATAAATTGTTTCTGGACTACATTTCCCATGATAGACTAAAAGCTAGCTGAGCATCAGAGCATCATTGGAAATGTAGTCCAGAAACAATTTATGGTGTCAAGGTTAGCCACCACTGAACTAGAAGAAATCAAGTAAAGTCAAACTTAAGCATCGTACAATTCCAATAAGAGATGAAACTAAGAAATATACTTAAGTCTTAAAGTGTGGCTCCCTGTAGTCTGCTGACTTGCTCCCAGTGCTGGGAAATCTGAGAAGTATGTAAATTGCGTTCCAAAGGTAAAATTTTTGAAAAAAATTACAGAAATCTTTTGTGGACATGCACTGTGAGATTTCAGAGGAATGCAACACAGTCTTTGCGGGTCTCCTAGATATAATTGCCAATTACCCCAGCCGCTACGCAGAAACAGCACTATTCAAACACTGGTGGAACACAGAGGCCCGCAGTGTAGGTTTTACTGGAAGGGAGGAAAAGCCTCAAGAGTAAATGGACTTTGGAAGCCAAATGAGGCAAAATGTGTCCCAAAAAGCATGTGACATAGAATTGTCCCAAGGACACATCTGTGCTGCCCCAGCAGACTAAGAACTACCTATAGAACCTATACAAAAATCTTTTCTAAACAATGTTGACCATAAAAATGCAATATAAAATTGTATTTATCCATTGGTAGTCATTTAATCTAAAAGGTTTATTAGACATTTAAAAAAAAATTTTTTTTGCAAACAAATAACAAAATGGTCATATCTGGCAACCTTGCATTTGTAGATATACAATAAACCTATCCAGGTATTCCATACATTTAAAATGAGGAGTAAACCTGGTGAAAATTCACAAGAGTGAAACTGAAGATCCACAATTGCTTAAGTTAAGGTCTCCTGAATATTTGAGAAACTTTAGCTTTTGGATTAAGTGCAAGTACACTGGTTACTAGAAAAGTCTAACTGGGATTATATTTTGTGTTTTAAACACTGGCCTTTACAAAATGAATCTGCTTCCCTAAAGGAGCTCCTCAACTGGAAATGGTTTGTTTTTACATTTTTTTTTCCTTTTTACAAACAAAAACTAAATACTACACAACTGTCCCAGAAAGGTTTGCTTTTCAAAATAATTTGATTAATGATGGGCACAAGGGATCTCAATGCAAAAACCCCAACTTAAGGGACACCATAAGCACCAAAACAACTTTAGCTTAATGGAGTGGTTTTGTGTATAGATCATGCCCCTGATGTCCAACTGCATTTAGGAGTTAAAAATCACTGAGTCTCCCTGCAGATTTCCTATAAAGAGAACTCTAATTTTAAAACTTCCTTTATTACACCATGTGTTTAACTTAGCATTTATTATCTCCTGCACTATTTGCCAGCTAGAGCCTCCTCTGTGTGTGATTAAAGTTCAATTAACAGAGGAGGAGATACAAACTTCTAAAGTGAACAAACTGTGCCGGCACGTGATTGAAAATTAAACAACTTGTCACAGCCAGATGAGGTATGGCTAAGGCTGTAAAACCAAACACAAACAGCTTCAATAAACCATTTTTGGGGTGTTCAGAGTAGCCCTTTAATTTTTTTCATGGTGTTTAAAACTATTATAAAGAATTAATCTGAGAAGACTTACCTGGTTTATCTGATGTACAAGCTATACATTTCACATCATCTGCTTTATTTTGCACACAGCACACTGTACATTCCCAAGATCCTACGGGTTTTTTGAATTTGTCATCAAACTGGAAGCCTGTAGAAGCTTGTCCAAGGCCAAATTGAGAAGTAGTTGATTTTTCCGTAGTCACAGGAGGTAAAAGCAGGGCAGCTTTAACTCCAGTCCCTGGCTTTGGGGTGTCACATGCTACACATTTTGTAACATCAGGCTTGTTCTGTACTAAACAGGTATCACAATCCCATGTCCCTGCTGCCACTTTAAATTTGTCTCCAAAACCCTGAAAGACTGGTAAAGTAGCACTGTTTTTTTGATTGCTGCTTGATTCTGAAGAAGCTGGTTGTTTTGGGAGTCCTACAGACTGATCCTTGGCAGCAGAGCAGGCAACACATTTGTTGTCACTTGCTCTGTTCTCATGGAAGCATGAACTGCACTGCCAAAGTCCAAATGCTTGTTTATTGCCTTCTCCAAGTGTCACTTTGCTTGCAGGTTGAGTGAGAGGTGATGTGCTTTTTCCAATAGAGATTGATGAAGTCTGGGCAGATGTGCTAGAGGAAAAGCCTATGAGGAAAGTGGGAAAAAAATATCGTATTAGAATGTGTAGCATAAAATATACTCCTAAATAGATAAACCATTATAAATGTACAAAGCCATTATGATTTAGGTTTAAGGTCAAGTATGACATGATAGTAAGGTTCATAAAATTATCAGAATGGGTTTGTCACTGCTGATGTAGGTTAGAATTGGTCTATGCACTCCTGTCAGCTGGGTTAAAATAGTGTGAGCAACAAATTGATAACTGTAACATTGAATTTCCAACACAGTAAGCATTCTACTGATATAATTACTGAGGGTCCAAGGCTAGAATCAGCAAGAGAGGAGACCTCGAAATCAAGTCTGCATAGCAAGGAAACTGCAATAATTCTGGTCCACCGGTTTTTAACTGCAGCCGCTCATTTGCTGAATAAGATTGTCACTACGGATGCTGTTAACCAATCCAATGCTTCCTTGTGTGGAAGCATTTGGGGGCTTGTGCACATGCACAGCAATCGTCATGCTGCACTAATCAGCATCTGTTCATAGATATGTACTGATTGCGATCATTGAAAGACCACATGTTCGAAGTCCCTCTAGTGGCTGTCCAAGTATCAGTCACTAGAAGTGGTGTTAGGCTGCAATGTAAACACTGCCTCTCCTCCGAATGTGCAATGTTTACACTACTCAGCCTGCATTGGCAAATTGCCTGGCCCAGAAGAACCAAATTAAGCTGGTGCTTAAAGGAAACTATAGTGCTAAAGAAACACAAAGTTATTATCTTAGCACTCTTTAGTGTCATCCTTGCATGTGCCATTGGGGGGTGGGGCAGGGGTTGTGAAGTTTTGTTTTTTTTATAAATCCAAACCTTTGGTATTATATTGAGATTTAGAGAAAGACCAATACACAATTACTGTAATAGTGTTATTTTGGTTACAATCAATCCAGAAAGTGATATATCATTACTGTAACATGTCCTCTTTAGAAATGACATCTAGGGATTAAAAAAAAAAAACAAAAAAAAAAAAAACTAGGAAACATTAGATTTTCTTACTTGTACAAAACGCACACAGACCCAAAAGAAAATTAAAAATTTTTTTTTACAAAATCATAACTGAGATTATTTAAATCTAAATTCAACAGACAATTATTTAAAATGCTACCGATGTTTTTAATTTGTTTAAAAAAAAAAAAATAAGTTCACATACCTGGACTCTTCAAAATATCTAGCACGCTTCCTTCCTTTAAAGATTTTGCAGGTTTACAAAACCCCCCATGTTCTTCCTCTTTCTTTTTTGCACTTATGTTATTCATCAATGACTTAGCTTAGAAAAACAGAAAAAGTAAAATGAAAATCCATAAATTTTATATAAATTGTGCACAACAATTACCTGCTATAAGAGAAGCTAGATATATATCATCATGTATTTTCAATAGAAAAGGGATGAAATGAGCATTTAAAGCCATGCATTTGGCAAAGTTATAGCAGCTTTTCCCCCAAAATAGTAGATTGCTTTCAATGCAGACAAATGTATGATTAGGAAGCAAAATTAAATGAGCAATGAATATTAAATAGCATTACTTTAACATAATCAACAATACAATGTAGTTCTTCGTTTAGCAGAAAATAAATCAATCTTTATATTGCTAGTGACATGAATAGGAAGTCCTCCTTGTCTAAATTCATAAAACGATCAATTAGAATAGAAATTTGAAACTTTATGAACTTATTTAGGGACCCTCCCCAACCATCAAGGTGACTGCAAGGAAAGCTTTCGGATTTATTCCGCTTGAACGAACAACTTAACAAGTAACTTCAGGTTTCTGAAGCGAGATCTTTCAAAGGGGAAACAGACTAATGCTTCCCTATGAGAAGCAATATACTCTGGGTGATTTCTGCACATGCACCATTTTTGGTGAGAGGATGGGAGACAGTTGGAGTTGAGCAACTGCGAGAAAAAATAAAATAAAAATGTACGTAAACATGCTTTTATGTTGGGGATATAGCATGTAAAGGGGTAAAGATACAATACAAATGGTAATTCTGAATAGTGTTAAAGGTTTAAGCATTCTTTTAACAAAAACAGTCCATGCCCAATAAAATGAACACAACTGGGCTATTGCTGAATCTTGATCTAACCAGTTTAAAAATGGGTGAGGCTGTTTGCACTAGCACATTTCACAAAGCATCATGCCAAATCGCTAATAGTGGGGCACATAAGAAAACACTGGTTCTTACCAGGGCTACTTGTAGTAATCATCTTATCTGCAGTGGTAGGTGGAGTAGATTTCACAGCTGGAACACTAAATGTGAAACCAACCTATGAAGAAACACATTGGAACACTTATGATAGGCAGTTTATGCAAAACTACAATAAAGAAAAATATATGCAAGGCAAATTTAGTAATTAGAGTCACACTAAATTAAAACATTCTTTTTAAAAAAAGAATTCAATGGAGATAAAATCCACTGGGACATTTAAAAGCCAAGCTTTATCAATTTAAAGGGGAATTCCAATTTATAATCGACACACTTATGCATAAACAGGTTAGAGAGCAGCTGCCAATAACCATTTAAAAAGTTACAGCACTAAATAAGGCAATCTTAAAAACAAATACTGGTAACTAAAAGTTATTGCGACAGCACTCAAAAAGTTGTAATGATGAGTTCATAAATACTTACAGATGACCCAGGAGATTGTGCATTGGATTCAGTTGATTTCACAATTGGGGATGAAAATGTGAACAGAGGGTTGTTGGTCAAATTGGTCATTTGCTGAAATTAAAGCGTGGATAAGAATTCCTGTCATTTTTGTAACGATACAGATATAAAATCATATAGTGCTGAAATTGCAGCTATAATTCCCAGAACTTTAGTAAATAGAGAGCAGCAAGAAATCATACTAAATATTGTAGAAACATTTGTCTAGTCTGACAATACTAGTCATCAAATTTAGCATGATTCCAAACTGTAGAGCCATTGCCTCAGATTCCAATCTTTCTAAATCATGCAGGACAAGAAAGATTATGTTCAGATCTGAATCCTATGGACAAAGCTTAGAGAGCTCCCATAATACAAAGGGTGTGGTTATCTTTGCTTAATATGCATGATTCTTTTAAATGGAGCAGCTACAAAAGGAGTGGAAAAACAAAATAAAAATGCCCATACAACCAAGGGAAAATGTAAAATAGACATTAGCCAATAACACTCACTTCAGAAGCCCTAGATGATCTGACATGTCATGCAATATAAAAATCTCTTTAAGACAAATATATGTGAATTTTATAAATAAGGCAATTTTTAGTCAGTATTGGACTAAAGGCTGGAGAATCTTAACTTTGTAAAGTACACAGGGTAAACTGTCACAATCAATAAGATATGTTTAGTTGTTAAAGAATTCCAACATACCTGCCACGAAGCAGTCTTGCTATCTGTAGGTTTAGGAGCAGTTAACAGGGAAGTAGCAGTGGATGCAGTTGAGAAGTTAAAGCTGGGTAGTGATGCCGTGCTTAATGGCAATGGTACTTCAGGTAAAACAGGTGCCTCTGACAACTAAAATAAATAAATTGTAGTTTGTGGATACACAAGAACAATGTTGCCTAGCATTGGATATTGGCAATGTAGAAACCTCTTCACTAAACAGATTACATATATCTCACAATCAGTATGTCAGAACACATTATACAACAGCGTTTGAGTTCAAGATTACTACACAAACCTTCGATTATCAATTCCAATTTTCTTACATGCCAAGTAATTCAAACAGCTACTAGATGCATACTTGCAAAAACAGAATATTCAAGGATATAATCTTTCAATGTAGGGTAATAACTGCTTGATTCAAGGATAAATTTGACTGCCATTCTGGGGTCAAGAAGGATTTTATTTTCCTAGCTTGTTGCAAAATTGGAAGTGCTTCAAACTGGGTTTTTTTTTGCCTTCTTTTGGATAAACAGCAAAAAACCAAATGTGAGGAAGGCTGAACTTGATGGACGCAAGTCTCTTTCAGCTATGTAACTTTATGTAAAATGTTAACCAGCACTAAAGTAAAATTCTTTTAAAAGTGACAGTATAACACAAACCACTGTTTTTAATAAACTGCAATAATTACGTACCAAACAGCCACTAGAGGGACTTCTGGGTGGTTAGGTAGCTTTTGGTGCTCTGCATGAGGACACCCAGCTTTACCCAAAATCCTAATGTGAGGGGGAGGAGGAGGAGGAGAGCCTGAGTGTCAAGGGACATCGGTGCTGGAATCAGGTAAGTAATGAAAACTATTTTTCTAACACTATAGTTTACTTTTAAGCAAATAAACTGTACATTAGTTTCCATGTTAGTTTCTGGTATTCTGTCATTTTAAACACCTGAAAACATGCAATGAGCTAGATTTTATTCTAAAATATCTATAATCTCCTGTATTTAATGAATTAAAAGCATCTGTCACCTATTTTGCAACATGAACAACGCAAAAAAAAAAAAAAAAATTACCTCTTCTGCTGGCTTTATTGTGTAATGAGAGTTTCTCTCTCTCATCATTTTACCGCCAGCTCCTCTGGATGATAAGCCATTAGATGCAGGAGTGCTTGACTTGGGGAAAGAAAAGCTGTTGGGAAAAGAAAACAAAAAACAGTAAGTAAAGCAACAGTAGCAATTTATTAGAAAGCAAGCAACCCTAGTAATGGAAAACACATACAGTGACATACTCTTAGTCAATATATTTCTAGAGACTAGGAAATTGCTAGTTTGGAGAGGTTATACGGTGCAGCCCTTGCAGACTGCAGTTTGATAGCAAGAATTTTCAAGCAATAAGTGTGGATATCCCTGCTGTAGACTAAATCAAAAGTGAATGATGGAAAGAACAATTCACCCAAAGCTGCCATGGGACAAACCCCATCTACTAGTGTAGATGAACTGGCATTAAAAAGGGGAAACTGCCTCTTGATACACATATGGAAACTTCCAACTTGCCTTCTTTCTACTGGTTGTGTGGGAGGCAAGACTGAGAACAAATGTTGCTCTATCTTAGTACATCATTGAGAGTTAAATCTTTGAAAGATACCATAAAGCAGTGTGTCAAAGAAATGGAAAAACAAACAAGTCAGCTTAGTAGATATACCGCCAATGAAAATATGCATGCATTTAGTTATGCATTATGGGGATATATCTAAAAACAGCCGCTCTCTTGCCTGAAGACTTGCAAGCCCTGCCCCCCTTCTTTTCCAATCTTTCTGTGGGTGTCCAATCACAAATTTTTTAATGCTGCCAAATGGGAAGACTTTTCAAAGCATGTGCTCTGGGCAATTGTCTGCCTTGAGTCTCTATTCAATGAGCTACACAACAAGGAAGCAACAGAACCAGTTGTCTTATTAACAGCTCAGGAGGATTTCTATGGAAATCTGCGCTTTCTGTAAAATGAAGAAGGAAAACATTCTTCACACATAGCACTTCTCGAGGTCTGAAGTGTCCGTTTACACGCTAAGGGACTAGGCACAAGGCCCGTACTTACCGCAACATCCTAGAATATGACTGAATGCAAATGCAATTAACGGTTTGTCAAAATTTTATTAGGGTGTCCTAAAATGCCCTTTTACACTAGCATTATTTGACTAAAATACATAAAAAAAATTATATATATTTTCCGAATTACTTTAGGATAGTACAAATATTACTAGCACAACAATGCTTCCCATATTTTTTGCCAAGTAAAATGGCAGCAAGCAAAATATTTTTTTCTTGCTTTCAAAACTTTACACCCACATACAAACATTCATATATGCATAATTTAAAAAATACAGAGCTAAGATTGGAACATTGAACAAGGGAAACAAACTGAAATTAATAGATTTTAGCAGGACTCTAGTATCTTGAAATGCCAGACCACCAATATAGAAAGGTAGAATTACACTTAGGGGTCTTAGAAAAGATTATGGCTATATTACAAGATTTGTAGAGCTGTACTGGAACAAAGGCCATTTTATATTTTTAGCGCTATATGCTAGAATATAAAAATTAGAGTTCATAACATACCTCTCAGTTTGTGGTGCTGTTGGAGCATGCAACATACGAGTTCCTTTTGACTCCTGTAATTAAACACAAAGGACACATTAAATATGCAAAGTGTAAAGTAGTCAAATATATAAGTCTCATTAAAAAGTTTATTACATTTAACGAAACCTAATGATTTTTGGGTCAGATTCTTCTCTTATCTGGCCAACTGCTGCTCAAACTAACTTGCTTGCCGCATTGATATTCTGTGTGCTTGGTGGGAAACTGCAGCAACAGGCCAGTTCGGTTGAGCAGCAGTTGATCAGATAAGAATAGTAAAATACTCCACCTTTACCATCAGTCCAATTAGCACAAATGTCTTCTACAAAATTAAAGAAACTTATATGGATAAGACTTCGACCCAAGTACGGAACACTTGTTCCACTTTTACAAAAGGTCTGGCAACCATGGTAAGGCTATACGGAACAATAACTGACTAAGGGAGTGTGATGGATGCGCCTCCCCGCCCCAGCAGGCCAAGGAGCAACCTCTTCAAAAGTATTACTCCTCTTTATCTCCCCTTCCTCAAACATTTATTGATCTTTTTATAATCTCTATATACAGTACTACCAATAAATATATAAAACTAAAGTTCATTGTAGTACAAAATAGACAAGACATTTCTGTGACCATAAATATCACTCTTAATGGAGTGAATGTCACTGCACTATATTGTTGAATGCTGTTAATCATTGTAACACGTACACAATAGTAGGTGATCTTACGCATAGTTTCAAATGTTCAATGGCTATAAGACTGTACTAACACAGTATGTATTAGTCTATCTCCGCTGTAGGTCACTATAACTACATGAACTTATAAAGAATTTTAAGAAAAGAAAAATAGTAAAAAAAGCTTGTCAGCACAACAAGGGGTTGCAGCGTATATGCATTTTTTTCCCATCACGTGAGCGTGGTTGCAGTAGACCATGCAATAGAAGAACCACAGCTTACTACTATAAACGTACATCATAAACTAAGCAGTGAAACTACCCTGTACTAATCCTTTAACCAAGATTAAAATCAAAGCAGTAATTAAAGTGTATTAAGAATGTGGCCTACGTATTGCTTAAGGATCCCTAGCACTTAGAATTATATTTAGGAGGCTTATTCAGCAACGTGCAAGGGCACAGAGTCAAAAATGTGCCTTTTTAATTTGATGACTAAATAAACTAAGCAAATATATTGCAGAGTATGGAGGGATCTTTGTTTGAGATTGATATATATTTAATACAATGTTAAACAAAACTCTGCACACCAGTCAAGCCATAAGACTTGCTTTTCCCAAAAAAAAATAATCACAAATTTGCAGTGATATTTATGCACCTGCATCATAATTTGGAATTCCATAGAACTGCCTACTACATACATTATATAGAAAAACGTTTTGGGACACACCTCTTAATTGTTGAATTCAGTTATTTCAATCAGACCCATTGCCACAGGTGTATAAAATCAAGCATCTAGCCATGCAGTCTGCATTTACAAACAGTAAAAAAAATGGGTCGTTCAAGAGCTCAGTGAATTCTATCGTGGTACTGTGATAGAATGCCACATTTGCAATAAGTCAGTTTGTGAAATTTCATCCCTGCTAGATATTCCACTGTCAACTGTAAGTGGTATTACCGGAAAGTGGAAAGGTTTAGGAACAGCAGCAACTCAGCCACAAAGCAGGGGGCTTGAGTGATGAGGTGAATCGTGGGTAAAATTCAGCATTGCTCTGCTGATTCCAAAGCTAAAGAGTTTCAAACTTCCACTGACATTAATATTAGCACAACTGTGCGGCAGGAGCTCACATCAAGTACAATCACCAAGACTCTTCCAGTGAAGGGAAAACTTAATGCTTCAGCATCACAAGACATTTTGGACAATGCTTTTCTTCCAACTTGTGGGAACAGTTTGGGGGAAGTCCCTTCACTATTCCAGCTTGACTGAGCCCCACTGCAAAAACCAAGGTCCACAAAGACATGGTTGGATATGTTTGATGTGGGAGAACTTAACCTCAACCCCACTGAACACCTTTGGCATGAACTGGAACAGAGACTGTGAGCCAGGCCTTCTTGTCCAAGATCAATGCCTGACCTCACAAATGCTCTTACTGGATGAATAGGCAAAATTTCCCACAGAAACACTCCAAAATACTGTGCAAAGCCTTCCCAGAGGAGTGTAAGCTGTTATAGCTGTAAACAGGGGACCAAACTGCATATTTATTTCTATGTACCTAAAATGCAATGTCAAAATTTCCATTTGGTGTAATGGTCAGGTGTCTCAATACTTTTGTCCATATAATGTAGTTTTTACTTGCCTACATAATGCGCTCATGAAGCATTTAAAATTACACCATTGGTGACAATATTAATTTTACATTTACGTAAACCATAGTTAATGTACATGTTACCATTTGAACATTTTGCAGATGAAAAATCTACATTAAATGCAAGTTACAGTAACCGTAAAATACTCACCTTCTGCTGGTCACTTTGCATTCTGTGTTTGCTTTTTATCAAACCAGATGGAGCCAGTGAAGGCTTGATGTATGAAGATACGTTTGGAGAGATCACTATGGATTTTGGTGTCATAAGAGCACGAACAGGGGGATATGTTGACTCAACCTTAAAATTAAAGAATGTAAAATGTCATTTAGAGTTGGTAAGAATACAAGAGTGTGTTTATATTCATATACACATACTAATATAATCTATATATCTGCCCACACTAACAAATCCACTTCTTTTTTACACCTCATTGCAACTTTAATGACCAATTCCACAAACCAACTAAATCAAAGCCACTTCATTTCTATTCAGAACTTACAGACAGAAATTTGGGAGATATACAATTGGATTTATTTCACCTTTGTTACTATATTATTAATTTACTATAACAATACTAACATTTTTACCCATATAGTTTACTACTCTAATATTTTATACTTGCAGTTATTACTATTTTGGCTGATGGAAATATTTGCCAGCCAAATGAGGTGTTTGCTCTACACCTCCAAACACTGTTTGTCCTTTTCCGCTGCAATTTTTTAAATAACTATTCTCTAGGCCCAATTCCACTAAACAACTGAAACAGCCCCACTTCTTTTTCTACTAGCACATCCCCACCCTTGCACCCTGGTTGCTTCCAACTATATAGCATGTTCTTCCAGCTGTTTGGCAACGCAATCCATCACATCCTCATTCCTTCGTGTTACTGCTATCCCCTCCAAATTCCCTCTGCTACCTCTTGTCTCATGTCCCCATTTTACCCTTTAGATTGTAAGCTCACTGGCTACCTAGCAAAGTACCCTGTATAAAATATCTTCAGGGGCTATATCTCCGCTCACAGGTCTGTTTTGTATTGGTCTGTTTATATGGTACTGTCTTTACCCAATTATACAGCACTGTCAAATATTTTAGTGCTTTATAAATGCAAGTAACATATCTATATTTCAAATGAAAGTCTCTGATCAATCCATTAAGACCTTACTGCAGGCCTGCTAGGCTGACAGTATTGCAATTATTTTTGGGAAAGGCACATTTGAGATAGATAGATAGATATATATATACTGCTGTTTAAAGGATCACTATAGGGTCAGGAACACAAACATGTATTCCTGACCCTATGGTGTTAAAACCAGCATCTAGCCCCCTGGACCGCTCATGCCTCCATAAATATAGTAAAAATCTTACTGTATTTAAGCCTGAAGCTGTAGATCTGCATGCTGTTTGCCTCAGAAAAACAAGCTGGCTGCTGACATCAGCAGAAGTGGTAGCCTGATCCAATCACAATGCTTCCCCATAGGATTGGCTGAGACTGACAAAGAGGCAGATCAGGGGCTGAGCCAGCACGATTCAAACACAGCCCTGGCAAATCAGCATCTCCTCATAGATATGATTTGAATCAATGAATCTCTATGAGGAAAGTTCAGTGTCTGCATGCAGAGGGAGGAGATACTGAATTTTTGGATGCATTTTAGGCAGCCTTGACCCAGGAAGGATCTCTAACAGCCATCTGAGGAGTGGCCAGTGAAGTTATCACTAGGCTGTAATGTAAACACTGCATTTTCTCTGAAAAAAGAGTGTTTACAGCAAACAGCCTGAAGGTAATGATTCTACTCACCAGAACAAATTCAATAAGCTGTAGTTCTGGTGACTATAGTGTCCCTTTAAGAAAAACAAATTCTCAAATGGGGAAAGTAGCATCAGTGAATCTAAAATTCAAATAACGAGATCAGCATGAGACTAAAATTGGTATAGATAGGACAAACACTGATGACTGTTTCTTTAAGAAAAAAAAAAAACAGCAAGTGCCAAACAAATATACAATGAACCCTTTTAAAAGCAGTGACAGCTGTGAGGAATTTGAAAATGCAAGTGTCAAGCAGCACTATCTACATCTCCTTCAACAAGTGTTGATATTGAAACTGCAAAACTGCATTGCTTCATACAAAACCTCACAAAATATGAAACATATGAAAGTCAATGCCATAGGAGGATGTAATGCAACCATTATCACAAAAATGGGAAAAATTGGAGGAAAATCCTTACACTGTTATTTACTAAATAACTCCAACTGAAGTTCAAATTTAAGATCAAAAGTAGCCGAAGTGGAGGGTGGAGCCAGGCACTAAACTGGACCAGACGCCATTTCATTTTCTCTTTTTTTTTTTTTATTCATTCTTTATTTTTGTGATGACCGTATTCAATGATAGGATAAAGTGAGGTTGGAAGGTACTTAGAGGTAACTTATTTATAGCGTACAATGCAATATTACAGGCATCAGATTGTAAAAGAACATTTGTTACAGTATTCCAGACCATGTATCCCTTTGTGAGAAAAGCAAAGACCAACTGTCAAAGTATTTTGTTTAAGCATTGGAAAAATAAAAGGTATAACAGAAAGATAGGAAAATAGATAAGAAAAGTCCCAGCAGTATGGCAATAAGGGGTGTGTGCACTTCGCTATGCGGGGAATGTAGGTGTCAGCCGTAATTCATTCGTTCCCCCTGCTCCCGATGCCACAGTTTCTATTCATTTGCATTTTCTTTTTGGTTTCTTATTAGTGTTTACTGGTGAAACATTTAAGATTGGCGCTTACAATGATGAAGGTGGCAGTGTGGTGCAGTCAATTCAGTGCTAACTGTATTTGTGTGCAAGTATTAAGTGGTGAGGGACATTTGGAATCACTTGGAGCCAATGTCAATAGCCATAAATGGCTGTAGTGTGGCAAAGCCCAAGAGTCCGTGAGGTGCGGAGTAACAGTATAGTAGGCTCCCCTGTCTGAGGTGTATGGGCAGATGGCGTAGAAACAGGATGCATACTGCAGTCTTACCACACCCTATAGAAGACACTGACATTGGCACAGTGTCAAAAGGTAAGGAAGGTAATGAAATTAATGGAAGGGATAGAATAGTAGAATCTCACGGTACGGGGGTGTTATGTGTAATTGTTCTCACGACCTACAATCCCATTTCCTCTGTGTATTGCTGCCACAAGTCCCATACCCTCTGAAAGGTGGCAGTGGTGTTGTGGACCTGTGATGTCAGCTTGTCCATAAGATCATTGGCTTATTTTGGCCATTGCCAATGTGAGGGAGGGGGGCTGAGTGTTCAACCACTTCTGTGCCAGGGGTCGTCTGGCTGCTAAGTATACCATGTTGAGTAGTTTCTGTTCATGGTGGAGGAGTCCATCAGTAGGCTTGAATAGTAAGAATGCTATGGGTCTAAATCCATGTCCTTTGTCGTATTTTAGTACCTAGTTCAACCACTCCCTTCCAGAAAAAAGACTAACTGTGGGGCATTTCCACCACAGGATCGCCAGCAGATGTCAGTTGGGCTAAGTTTCATGTGGTGTTGCCAGACGCCATTTCTGACGGCTCCAACACCCTAAAACACAATCCACACTATATCTCCGCACCTCGCCACCATCCAACCCCGCACACAGCAGATACAGACCAAGGACGTCTTGCCGCACCAACTGATGCCCTTCTTATACTCCGCGAAGCAACCAAAGCTGAAACGCAGGCATGGGGCATATTACATGCCAGCATACCCCGACCTCTAGTATCTTTTGAGCGGGGACCTCGACGGGGAAATGGCAGAACTGTGGCAACCTCACACAGGGCTCACTACTCCTTCCATGGGGCTCAGATCCAAGAAGCCTCTGGCCGGAACCGCAAATTAACAGCGGGACATCGGAGCGATGTGCCAGCGGCACACTCCAGTCAAAATGGCAGCCGCGGAAAACTTTCCTCCAACTGGAGTCTCCCATGCCGCATCACTGGCTCCCCCGCAGGCACAGAGCGCACACACACACACAACACTAGCCCACAGCAACAGCTGGCTGCCCAGAACCTGCAACGAAGCAGAACTTCCAAACCCTATATAGACCATGCTCCAAGACCTCCAGAGACTTCTCACTGATGACTTGCCAGTCCTGAAAACGGCCATGCAGCAGGTGACATGACGGATGAAAGCAGCTGAAGCTAAGGAGAACCGCAATGACACCTCCGCTATGAAGGCCTCCATACTACAAACAACCCAACATGCCCTCTCACTAATTATCGGCGCAAGACGACCGGTACCACCGCAACCATACTAAGATAAGGGGCATACCCTCTATGGTGCCTGGGGAGGAATTGCCACACTATGTGAGGAGACTGCTGTTCACAATACTGCCACCTTCAACCGCAAGAAAAATCAACATAACTGGGCTATACTGCCTCCCAAAGCCGACCAAAACTACTTCCACAGTGCCCGAGGACGTAATATTCTGCTGCTCACTATCCCTAGACATCATGGCAGCGGTAAGGAGCAAGACCCCACTGACTTTTGAGGACTCCCAACCGTCTTTATCAGGACTTATCCAAAGCAACGCTGAAATGGAGGAAATCCCTGAACTCACTCACCACCCGACTACGCACACGTAGGAGTGACCTACAGGTGGGGAACACCAAGATCCCTCCATGTCTCTGACAATGGCACCATGCACAAACTCCCTACAGGGACCTCTATCCATGCGTTCTTCTCTGCACTGGGCATAGGGGATGTGACAACTGCCCGACAGACCAAAGCCGGCAGCCTGCTTGCCACCTGACTATCATGAATGACACTAATCTAAATGATGGACCTCCAGAACTCACGGCTCTGTGCTGCATAATCTTTAAAGTTTTAATATTGTTTTAGTTCTACACCACGCTACAGTTTATTAGCTATACACAAACACACACACCCACCAATGGGTCTGAGACACCTAGGAATAGGGAGCCCCTGGCTGACTTTTGTAATGCACAAAACCAATAGCACCATATATGGCCCTGGTCCAGTTCCACTAAAATATACATAGCGAGCTACTACACCGCATGCACTCAGCCGCATGTTTAAATCTTTATATTTTTTGTACAAGAGAGTGTGTGTGTGTGTATATATATATATATATATATATATATATATATATATATATATATATATATATATATATATATATATATATATATATATATATATATATATATTGTTATGCAGAATTCTGCACCGTAATCCTGTCACCTTAGCCAAACCTCTCGTCCCAGATAGACATCCTAATAATATATACACAGTGTTTCATCCCCAAAAGTACTGAGTGAGCAGCTTTTAATTCACAATCTGGATGAAGACAGAGAAACTGCAAACCGGTAGCTATATCCTTATAATATCTACATGGGTGCCCTCACCAAATGCAGGTTGTTTTGTTGTTCGAATCATTTAGTACCGTCAGTGGTTGAGCTGTGTGCACCGCTTTGATTTTTGTTTCTGAAGTAAGGGGGTGTGGCTAAAGAGGCAGACTTATGGTGCAGTATTGTGCAAAACATTTACTTTATGCAAAAACTATGAAAAATAAAGCATGCAACAAAAATACAGCATATTAATGAGGCCAACACAAATCAAACACATTAAAGTAATATTGGTGGTTGGAGTGCCCCTTTAACTCTCTTACTGAACATTGTGTCTCATTCAAGTTCTTATTTCCTGCTCTGTTAATTGCTTGCTCAAGTTTGCAAGAGCCTTCTGTGTGTGATTACAATTCATGTTGGGTTTGAGAGTCACAGCCAGGGAAGGTGTGACTAGTGCTGCATAAACAGTAATAAACTCATAAATGGCAGAGTATTGAGCAGTGACACTGCAGAGAAGGGATCTATATATGAAAACTAATTTATGAAGTTTAAGTTATTTTGGTGTTTAGAGTGTCCTTATAACTAAGGGGTTTTGACATCGCTCACGCCCCTGCAATCTCACTGCTCAAATCTCTGCCATTTAGGAGCTAAATGCAGCCCTAAGTACAACTCCCTCCATGTGAGTTACACAGCGCCCCCCACTTCCATTATTACAAAGTCTGTTTCATTTGGAATGTCTCATCTGCTACAGCCCGTAGGAATCTGTTAAAGTTCGATCAACACAGCAAAAGATAAGCACCTTTAAATTAAACACAATGTGCTGTAAGAGCCGATTGAAAATAAAAAATGTAATTCATATTGTGAGTGCAAGTCACAGCTGTGGACGTGTGGCAAAGACTACATAATAATAAAAGTGATTTAACTCCTAAATGGTATAGAATTGAGCAGTGAGACTACCAGAGCATTACATATACACCAAAATTGCTTTATTAAGCTAAAGTTGTTTTTGTACTTAGCTAAAATTGTGTCCTTTTAAAAACAAAACAGAAGAACATGTGACTGCCAAAAACTATTATGAATATTCACAAATAATTTAACTTGTTCAAATAAGAAACATGTTTTTTAAAGTAATTTATGGATCTTTGAAAGTATCAACCATTCTTGACCTATATATGGTTACCTTTTTCCTTTTAGAAGAGTTTCCTATATCATCCTGGAAACTTTTGTCTGCCTGTAATACGAAAATGAAAGATTTAAAGAAATCAATCCTATTACAGACAGCTTCAATTGGACTGGTCTGTTCTTAAAGGACACAAGCAGTTTCATACATACATACAGTTAATACAATGTTAAACAAAAATCTGCACACCAGTGAAGCCATAAGACTTGCTTTTCCCACAGAAATCCTAAATCTGCAGTGATGTTACAACCGCAGAATATGCCCACCCAGAATCCTTTGCGGTTGTATCACTACTGCAGATCTGGGATTTCTGTGGGAAAAGCAAGTCTTATGGCTTGACTGGTGTGCAGATTTTTGTTTAACATTGTATTAACTATCCACAGACTTCAGGTGGAAGGGGTTTTCAATCACAATTTTCCCCCCACCATAAAACACAAACACACACTTTTCTTTAAAGAACAAAAGGGCTTCAATTAGCTGTCACATATACATATATAAATCGTTATAGGTTTCCCCACAGTTTTGCCAACAAGGTGCATATAATTAACGCATCTTAAGAAATTTCAAAATAAATTCAAATGTATTTGTCCTGATTTACATCATATGTCTAAGACTTCAGTTTACATTTGGTAGACACTAGTCACAAAATACAAAAGAGAAAACTAAAATTTTAAAGGGACACTACAGTCGCCAGAACAACTACAGCTTAATGTAGTTCTGGTGAGTAATTCCCTGCAGACATTTTCATGCATACTGTGCTATTTTGGAGAAAAGGCAGTGTTTACATTACCCCCTAGGGACACCTCCAGTGGCCACTCAGATGGCCATTGGAGGTGCTTCCTGGGGCATGCGGCACAGCGCCTGAGACGCAGAAATGTTCCTTATAGAGACACATTGATTCAATGCATCTCTGAGGAAGTGCTGATTGGCCAAGCTGGCGTTTGGCCCTGCCCCACCCCACCCCACCTTCTTGTCGATTTCAGTCAATCCAATGATGGGAAAGCATTGGATTGGCTAAAAATCTTACATTCTGATGGCACCAAGGAGGAGAATCAGTGTAAGCAGACCCACGCATCGCTGAAAATAAGGTGTGGGGGGGGGGGGGGAGCCACCTAAATAGTGGTTTTAAGACAATAGGGTCAGCAACACGTTTGTGTTTTAATGTGGAGTGATTTTAGATTTGGTATGTTTGTATTCTAAGTTTAATTAAATTGCAACACTAAACACTAAGTTTGCATTCTAAGTTTAATTAAATTGCAACACTAAAATATATAGCTACCTAAAGTAGATATCACCAGGTGTTTAGAGGTTTACTCTAACCCTGTTTTTAGGGGAGGGTGGTGGTGGGGACAGTTCCTGTGTAGAATGCCCTGTTGGGCACAATGGAGAATAGTCCCCCTTCACAGTTTGCCCTTTAACTTGCAAATGTGTTTTCCCAACTGGAATCCAGTGCTATTCTCCTGGAACTGAAATTCAGCGCCCCCTCTAGCGCTACAGAGGCTCAATGAGGTCTAGTCACAAGCTTCCCATAGAGAAGTCTGTGGTTGAACCATTTTGCCAGCTAAAAGTGCATGTGCATCCTCTGATTAGGGGAGGGAGTGGAAACAAGGGAGTTTTCTAGTTGTGAAGCAATGTATTTGAATTTACAACAGGGCAACCAGAAAACATGAAATGAACAATCATATGCGCACACACACAAATATGAGAAGCTTACTCACCAGACATGAAGAGGAGATGGATGGGATTTTTTTGGCATCCTGTAATAGAGAGGGAAGATAAATTAGCACTAATGATTTTCAACATCTAGACTAGCTGCCTTCAACACAAGCCTTTTACACTCAGCTGTTTTAATGTGCAATACTAGTAAAGGACGCAAAGCATACCACCAGTTAAGTACCAATAAATAAGATGGACTGGGCCAATATGAATCCCAACATTTAGCTGTGGGATTCATATGAAAAACACCATTTATAAACTTGATAGCAGCTTTGTATTTTGGGAAAAATACACTGCTCAAAAAAATAAAGGGAACACAAAAATAACATCCTAGATCTGAATGAATTAAATATTCTTCTGAAATACTTTGTTATTTACATAGTTGAATGTGCTGACAATAAAATCACACAAATTAAAAAATGGAAGTCAAATTTTTTCAACCCACGGAGGTCTGGATTTGGAGTCACACTCAAAATTAAAGTGGAAACACACACTACAGGCTGATCCAACTTTGATGTAATGTCCTTAAAACAAGTCAAAATGAAGCTCAGTAGTGTGTGTGGCCTCCATGTGCCTGTATGATCTCGCTACAACGCCTGTGAATGCTCCTGATGAGGTGGCGAATGGCCTCCTGAGGGATCTCTTCCCAGACCTGGACTAAAGCATCTGCCAACTCCTGGACAGTCTGTGGTGCAACGTGATGTTGGTGGATGGAGCGAGACATGATGTCCCAGATGAGCTCAATTGGATTCATGTCTGGGGAACGGGCGGGCTAGTCCATAGCATCAATGCCTTTGTCTTGCAGGAACTTGAGGATCTTGTCTCGGTACCTAATGGCAGTCAGACTACCTCTGGCTGGCAAACACATGGAGGGCTGTGCGGCCCCCCAAAGAAATGCCACCCCACACCATTACTGACCTACTGCCAAACCGGTCATGATGGAGGATGTTGCAGGCAGCAGAACGTTCTCCACGGCATCTCCAGACTGTCACATGTACTCTGTGTGAACCTGCTTTCATGTGAAGAGCACAGGGCGCCAGTGGAGAATTTGCCAATCTTGGTGTTCTCTGGCAAATGCCAAACATCCTACACGGTGTTGGGCTGTAAGCTCAACCTCCACCTGTGGACGTCAGGCGCCCTCATACCACCCTCATGGAGTCTGTTTCGGACCGTTTGAGCAGACACATGCACATTTGTGGCCTGCTGGAGGTCATTTTGCAGGGCTCTGGCATTGCTCCCCCTGTTCCTCCTTGCACAAAAGTGGAGGTAACAGTCCTGCTGCTGGGTTGTTGCCCTCCTACGGCCTCCTCCATGTCTCCTGATTTACTGGCCTGTCTCCTAGTAGCGCCTCCATGCTCTGGACACTACACTGACAGACACAGCAAACCTTCTTGCCACAGCTCGCATTGATGTGCCACCCTGGATAAGCTGCTTGTGTGGGTTGTACTCTACCACTAGAGTGAAAGCACCACCAGCATTCAAAAGTGACCAATACATCAGCCAGGAAGCATAGGAACTGAGAAGTGGTCTGCAGAACCACTCCTTTATTGGGGGTGTCTTGCTAATTGCCTATAATTTCCACCTGTTGTCTATCCCATTTGCACAACAGCATGTGAAATTGATTGTCACTCAGTGTTGCTTCCTAAGTAGACAGTTTGATTTCACAGAAGTGTGATTGACTTGGAGTTACATTGTGTTGTTTAAGTGTTACCTTTATTTTTTTTGAGCAGTGTAGGTGTTAATACATGCAAACATGCATTGTTTTATAAAGCACTTTACACAACCACTTAAATTGCATAACAAACCTCTCTCATCTGTTAAGTACTTTCAAATGTAACATTTTATCATGGGATGACTAACATGGCTACTATCCATTTATACACCACTTGTTTTGTAAACCAGGCTGTGCGCTGAGATGGCCAAAGTCCTCAGGATTGCTCCATAAGAGGAGACCAATATGCATGCACTAGCTGTAAGTTAAATGAAGAAACTTTCCTCCTTTGACATCAGAGAGCTAGAATCTGACATTTAGCTGTTGTTACAAGTCACTCTTGGTAGGGAGTCCGTAAAAGATACAAAACACACCTTAAGGCTTGCAGTGATTTAAAGTGTCTACGCAACTTAGTGTTGCTTTATAAACAACCTTTCAGATGTATTTCAAAGTATGATGCAGATGTAAGCTTTAAGTCAAATATAAATTGGTTACCGCTAAAGGACTGGACATCTTCTCCAATGATTGCAGGATACGCCGAGCAGCGTAACTTGTAACTCCATATGTTTCACTATTTGCTGGCTTTGCTTTAACTTGCAATCTCACAGGTGCCTAAAAGAAACAATTTGTTACAAAATGTTTAATAAAAATTACCAAGGTAGAAACTATAAAAATGCATAACTAGCACAAACATTACAGAACTCAATGTGTTTACAGATTTGTATTCAGTAAGTCACACCATTTAAACAGAGTACACAGTAAAGCCAATGGCATGCTATGCTGTCACAGTATTACTGTGGTCTATAAAAAGCACTCCTGGCACAGTACAGCATACAACCATTAAGTTTAGTCAAGCAGACAACAGGTGTTGCAAAGAAGGTGCTTCTTCATGCCAAACCACATGACCCAACATAACCACTTTCACACCATGATTAACAAATGGACAACTGTGGGCTTTACTAGAGTAACCAAGCTATGAATGACTGAACTAAAAGGTTTTTTTTTCTCTCCAATGGTAATATTTAATTGGTGTTTTATTTCAGTCTCATGTTTTTATTTTTGTTTTACTTAAAAAATAAAAAAAAAAAAAATAAGTACATTAATTTGTAATGTCTTTCAATGAATATGGTCAAAACGGATTATTGTAATGATTTTCTTAGAGGGACATAAAACAGGAATTGGAACCCATTAAAAGTATTATATAGATAATGCATTAAAATGAGATGTTTTAGACACAATAAACACTTCGGGTTGGTGTGTGAACAGTAAAGCAATTCCTAAAGTGTATAAAAGTCCATCTGCATTGAACAGATGCAATTGTACACATATTAAAAGAACAGCCGTTTTAAATACTCTTAAAGAGCACTTCAGTTCAGGGTGTTTGTTTTTGGCGGTTTAGCTTTTTCAAACTGTGCTATAACAGCCTTAAGGGACACTATAGCCACCGGAACTACAGCTTTTTGCATTTGTTCTGGTTAATATAATCATTCCCTTCAGGCTCTTTGCTGTAAGCACAGTCTTTTCAGAGAAAATGCAGTGTTTACATTACAGCCTAGTGATAACTCCACTGCCCACTCACATGGCTGCTAGAGCTGCTTCTTGGGGCAGTCCTGCCTAGTGTGCAGCCCTATCATTCAGTGTCTCCACCCTCTGCATGCAGATACGAACTTTCCTCAGAGATGCATTGATGCCGATTAACCAGGGATGTGTTCGACTTGTGTTGGCTCTGACTCTGACAGTCTCAGACAGTTCTATGGGGAAGCATTGTGATTGGCTCAGACCACCACTTCTGATGATGTCAGCAGACAGAGGCAGTTCACATGCAAACATTTGCAGAGGTAGCAGCTGCAGACTTGAATACAAGTAAGACTTTACTATATTTAGGGTGTCAAAAGAGGGCCAGATCAGAAATATGTGTGTGTTCCTGACTCTATAGTGCTCCTTTAGGTTTGCAAGGCTGTCCAACCAGCTTTGCCTTCTGCAGGACAGTCAGAATTGTCAGCCAGTTTCACATCAATCAACTTCAGTAATAAGAACACTTTACTATGCTCACGTGTAAACATTTAAAATTCAAGGTGCAAACTAACCAGCAACATTTTTTTCAGTCAAATTTAAGGCATAGTAAAAGGTTACCTGATAAGGAGTCCCTCTGACTCTTGAGGACCGTGCGGCAGCTGCTCCTCCATAAGTTGTTTTTCCTGGGTAAAAAGGAGAATCTCCTAGCTGGCTGGATTTTAGTACTGAAGCATTTCCAAGAGACTGAAAATAGATATACAGAGGAATTAAACAGTTTAGTTTATGTAAACTGACCAATAATGCAAATTAGTTTGAGGGATCCTAACATACCCAATAATTTCTTATTACATTAATACAAAATAAGATCATTGGGAAAACGCAGGTTAAAGGGGCTGGACTCAAAGCTTAAGGTTAAAATTGTTTCCTTGCAGTAGTTAAAACTCAAATAAAAAACTAAAATAATTAACTTACAAATAGTTACTTCCTTTAGGGGAAAGGGTTCAGCAACACAGCACATTATCTGTCCTATGGACCTAATTTGTCACTTACCGGTGACATTGATCCAAAGGCAGAAAGGTTGAATGTTGGTTTTTTTGCACTCATGCTGGAATTATGAGATAGTGGATTTGAGCGATCAGCTTCTGGAGACCACAGAGGAGGGGCATTTAAATTTTTTGACACAGCTACATCTAGAGAAGAATACATTTTATAGCACAAACAAAATCAATTAGAAATCAATGAATACAACACCCAAAACTGTGTAAAAGTAGAACAAATCATACCCTTGTCAGATGCTCGAGAGGAAAAACCACTTGTTGTAGAGATGTTATCATCATCGTGCTGAGAGGTAGAGTCTTTGATTTCCTTTATAAGTGAATAGCCGGAACTGCCAATAGGAAATGCAGAAGATGTTGAGTGCTGGCAGTGAAGCGCAGGAGAATCCAGGACATTGAAGTTCAGATTTGCTCGATGGAGTGAAGGCCTTGTTAGAACATCAGGCATACTCAATGAGAATCGACTAGTCGATGGTTCTGAGAAAAAAGTGCAAATGGATTTTTTGTAAATCTAACCTGAAAGTTTTCTATATTTGTATATGATTATACATGAGTAAAAGGACACTCCAGTCATACACGGATTGTTAAATATAATTAAGTAGATTTGACAGATTGTGACCTTAAATTCATGGGTTTTTTTAACATTCAAATCTCAGGTTTTGCAACTTTCTGTAGCATAAACCCATGCATTTAGTCCAATTCCCTCTTTTCACAAAGCAACTTCCTTTTTATTGTATTTTTTTTCCAATTCTTTATTTTGAAGCTCAGACAGCAAGTGTAATAGAATCACATAGTTGACAACGAATCCAGAGTATGCCAATGCATACTATAAAATTCACATTAGGGATAAAATCACCAAGTGTATTTATTTAAAAAACATACTTTTTACCTTATCAAAATGTAACTGGTAACAAAAACAACTTCCTTTTTAGATTATTCTATAGAACATACTCACCCCAGTAAATGAGAGATCAGTGTGAGCCGAGCGGCGGACATCACTCTGCCCATCAGCTAATTACTTATCAACTCTTGTTATTTGTACCCATCCCCCTAGCACAGATTTTAAATACTAAACAAATAGGAGTAATAAGAGTCAGCTTCATAGCTCACACTCGTCTCATTGGCACAGCTAAATATGCACTCAGGCTACATCTACTAAACAAGTTACTTGTGACTTAAGGTAGGGCTCAAAATGTCAAGTCCCAAGCTACTAGTCAGGCCTATCATGTAATGGGCTATTTTGAACCGCAACATTTGAGAAGTATTCAGGTATAGTGCAGAATGGCTAAATCTAAGACTTCCAGTCTCTGACATCCAGAAATACAGAGTATGCGGGCCATCACTAAACAAGCAGCAAGAGCTCTGTTCACGTTTAACAAAAGGCAGATTTGTCTCCAATATATAGAGATTACATATATGTAGAAGCACAAATTAAAGACAGGCTTGCCAAGCCAAGATATGCTCTCTATTAACCTTAAACTCACAAGTTGACAAATACATTAGGTATTTTCTTACTGAACATTTCAAATATTTATACACAACAGAAGGCAGCATTGAGATGTTGCACAAAATGTTAACGTTCTAAAAAAAACAAGCTGTTTTTCAATTTAAAAAAAAATAAAAAATTTGAAAGTTTACTGAAAGGATTAACCTTTCAATAAAGTTTGGTTTTTATTAATTGAAACAAGCTCCCCCCACTTCCCCTCTGTCATTGGGCAGTCCTTAATTTGATTCTACCTAAGGGTTATTCCCAGTTATGCGCGGAATTCAGTTTCATGACCAATCTACAATAGGTCCCTTGTATTGGATTGACACATGGCACAATGTTAATGTTACTTAAGCACCATATCTTACAAATCACAATTTAAAGGAACACGTCAGGCTAGAGAGCTGTTTTTCAAACATTCTGTACCACATTGTGCTATTTTTACTAGCAACTAATAAGTTACTGAATAATTTTCACACAGTCGGTGCCCTCTCATACAATTTGGAAGTAACAGTGTGCATGCGTGAACAAACCGTTGAGCTTTATAAATTTGCAATGCCTACTGCACCAGGGATTTCAATGATTTTCTATGCTAAGTAGTACTGTGAGCACGTGCAAGTGTGCTTGGTGTTACTGGACAAGATGTTCACAAATGCTTTGAACAGACTGCTACATGTTAACCCCTTCAGTTCCTATTCTGTAGGATTTGTGTAGGTTTTTTTGTAACCAAACTACTGTAATATTCAGAAAGCACATGAAATCCATATTCTAATACAAGTTAAATTCCTTAGACTAGAAGGCTACAGTATGGCTTTTTAATGCATTCTAGGTATTTGAGATGGAATAATAATAATAATAATAAATAATAATAAGTGCTGGCAGTTTACAGTGAAGATGAACGTTAAACTGTAGATTACTTGCCTTGGAATGTTACATTGAAGAATTAAAGGACCACTATAGGCACCCAGACCACTTTAGCTTAATGAAATGGTCTGGGTGCCACGCTTCTCACTGTGATTTTCAGTGAGAAGACGCCAGTGTCCATAGGAAAGCATTGAGAATGCTTTCCTATGAGACTGGCTGAAATCGCAAAATGGGGGAACAGATGTAACGGACAACAGCAATTTATGATAATTTTTATTCTTAATGGGGCAAAGGGAAATCTAGTCCAGAAGGAACTGGAATAAAACTTTGCAAAAATATGAAGAGCAAGTCAGCAGCTGAATGTCCAGTTCATAATGTTATGGCGTAAGAGTACATGTTCAACCAATGAATTATGTCCAAATTTGGTATGTTAATGCTAAAGTAATACACACATACGCATGCTCATGCTTCCGTGAGGAGAGACGTAAGCAATAATGTTGGAGCCTCGACACTGGAAAAATTAAAGGTAACATTAAAACAACTTGCATACAGGGGACATGGTTAGCTGAGCAGAGAGCAAGATGTGGAGCTCCAGCTGACCACACTGCTATAGCTAATAAATTGACACGGTTGTCACCAGTGAGCGTGAAGAAAAGGATGCGGATACATAGAGCCACTGAGTGAGTGACGGTCTCGGAGTTTGATGGAAATAGCCAGCAGTAAGGGTAATAGTTGGTGCCAAAACAGATCTATAACAGAGTTTAGACTGTTTAGTGGGTATACATTGCGTTTGTAGTTCTCTATGTAACATTGGAATATAAGAATCAGTCTAGTTTCAAAATCATTACTGAAATTCTTGTCATATTTCACAGTAAAAATAAAGAATTAAAAAAAAAAATTTAAAACAATTGTCTTGGTCACTTTGTTTATCTGGCACCAATACATTAGCAGTTATGAGGTGAGGTATCCATGGATCAGACATGTTTCAGCACACACTACACATGCTCAAACGGATAGAGATCTGGAGAATTTGGGGGGCTAGGGCAACACTTAACGGTTTGTAATGTTCTCCTGCGCTTCACTGCCATCCTCACAGTGAGAAGATGCCAGCGTCCATAGGAAAGCATTGAATGCTTTCCTATGGACTGGCTGAAAGCGCGCGCAGCTCCTGCCACGCATTCAGCCGAAGAGGGGGAGAGGAGGCGGAGAGCTCCCCGCCCGGCGCTGGAGAAAGAGGTAAGTTTAACCCCTTCCACCCCTAGAGCTTGGTGGGAGGGGGACCCTGAAGGTGGTGGCACCCTCAGGGCACTATAGTGCCAGGAAAAAGTATGTTTTCCTGGCACTATAGTGGTCCTTTAACCCCTTAAGGACGGAGCCAAATGTACACGTTGTGAACAAAACAAAATGTAAACAAAACCTGGCATTTGCGCCACATGTCTGTCCAACCGTAATTCACCTCTTTCATAGTAAATGCACCCACCCTTATTATATATCATTTTATTCAGGGGAAACAGGGCTTTCATTTAATATCAAATATTTAGCTATGAAACATAATTTAATATGAAAAAAATGGGAGAAAATACGATTTTATTGGATTTTTTTAGTTCTACATGACAATTAAACGGTCAGTGTCATAATACTGTTTGCTTTTACTGCAATAAAATACACATATTTGTATTCAGCAAAGTCTCACGTGTAAAACAGTACCCCCTATGTACAGGTTTTATGGCGTTTTGGGAAGTTACAGGGTCAAATATAGCACGTTACATTTGAAATTGAAATTCGCCAGATTGGTTACGTTGCCTTTGGGACTTTATAGTAGCCAGGAATGAAATTTACACCCATAATGGCATACCATTTGCAATAGTAGACAACCCAAGGTATTGCAAATGGGGTATGTCCAGTCTTTTTTAGTAGCCATTTGGTCACAAACACTGGCCAAAGTTAGCGTTAGTATTTGTTTGTGTGAAAAATGCAAAAAAACGCCAATTTTGGCCAGTGTTTGTGACTAAGTGGCTACTAAAAAAGACTGGACATACCCCGTTTGCAATACCTTGGGTTGTCTACTATTGCAAATGGTATGCCATCATAGGGGTAATTTTCATTCTTGGGCTACCATAGGGTCTCAAAGGCAACGTAACCAATCTGGAATTTTAATGTGAAAATAACGCAAGCCTTATATTTGACGCTGTAACTTTTGAAAACACCATAAAACCTGTACATGAGGGGTACTGTTGTACTCGGGAGACTTCACTGAACACAAATATTTGTGTTTCAAAACAGTAAAAAGTATCATAGCAATAATATTGTCCGTTTAATGCTGTTTGTGCGTGAAAAATGCAAAAAACGTCACTTTTACTGGCGATATCATCGTTGTAATACATTTTACTGTTTTGAAACACTAATATTTGTGTTCAGCGAAGTCTCCCGAGTAGAACAGTACCCCCCATGTACAGGTTTTATGGTGTCTCGGAAAGTTATAGGGTTAAATATAGTGCTAGCAAATTAAATTCCCTTTACTTTCGGCATGGGTTGTCATGCAGGTCCTGCTAATTGTAATTAATTAAGATACCTAATTATGTAAAAATATTACATAAATATATATGTAGAATCAATATATGTATATATATACGTATGTGTATATATATATATATCTATATAATTTTTTTAAAATATTTTTATTTATATATAGGTATATATATAGTGATATATACGTATATATTTATGTGTATAAATATATATATTATTTCGTTCTATGTGTATTTTGATATATATATATATATATTAATTTCACAATACAGTTAGAACGAAATAACACACATCTATATATTTTTTAATTATTTATTTTTAATTATTTTTGTAATTTTATTTTTTAACGTATTTACATTTTAATTTTTTTTATAATATATATATATATAAATATATATATAACAATAATTATATATATATTTAATCAGTATCAGTGTACGTGTAATTTGATATTATATATATATATATAATTATATATATATTAATAGTAAAATACACCTAGACGGTGTACATGTGTGTATGTATATGTGTATATATATACTTTGATCATATATATATAATATATATATATGATCTAAGTATATAATATTTATTTTTTTACACTATTTATTTATTTCATTTTTATTTTCAGCCAGCAGGGGGACCACCTGTCATTACAGGCAGCCCCCCTGCTGGCAATACAGAAGCCAGCTATCCCCGGCCATGTGATTGTGGGGTCCTCGCTAGGACCCCACTCTCACACGGCCGGGGCGCTTCCTGGAGGACGGTCGTGCCGCGGGGGGCTCCCTGGGAGTCCCCCCCACCGCGATCGCCGGCGTGGGACCGCCGGCGACCGGGTAAGTACAGAAAGACCGGAGGGCGTACTATTACGCCCGGCGGCGTTTAGAGCCGCCTATTAGAGGACGTAATAGTACGCCCTCCGGTCTTAAGGGGTTAACAGGTGCGATCGTAATGATATAATCAATGTTCTTCACTTCACCTGTCAACCTTGATAATGAGGCATTAACTTTGCCCATTGACACAGAACAAGAAAAGCACAGATGTGGGCTAGAAAACTGGAATACAATATAGTTATGAAAATCTATAAAGTGTCTTTTCACTAGGAGATAATTTTTAAAAAGCACACACCATCAAGCAAAATAAAATGGCTCTTTAATGCCCTGTTCATAAACAAAAAAAACAAAAAAAAAGGCGTCATCCACAAAAAAAGTTTGAAAGGAGATACTGACTTGGAAAGCAGATGATGATGCCTACAGGAGTGATCAGGGACTTTAAGAATAAGACAATTAGACTAAATAGGAAGCTGCTGGCATACATGATGTAACATTTATGATACCAATGTTTAGTAGCATATACAATTCTCTGTGTGACAATACAGATTGCTGGCTCAAGGCAACTGAAATGTGACCTAACGTGAATTCTCTCCCTGCAGGTCAGGAAAGATTGAAAGGCTGCAAGGATTGTGATAAAGCAGGTTGTATGTGAACCATTCCAGCAGAGAACATTTCTGTGATTCCTTGATCTCTCTAGCGCAGTATTGTGACTCACAGTTGAAAAAAGGACAGCATTTCATTTCCAGCAGTGCTGTGGGTCATGATGCGAATGGGAGAACAAAAGGATACCTATTACAGCACAGAGACAAGGGTTGGGGAACCACTAAATCAAGTCTACACAACTATGAACCATTATAAATACATTCCCATCATTAAAAGGCCAACTGTCACCAAAAAAATAAGTTTAGCACATTAGAAATCTTTCCCTAACTAGGTAAAGTATGAAAAATATTAAAAATATTTTCAGCGTCCATCTATTTTTTCTGCCACCATACAAAGTCCCATGCATGAGCATTGCATCATATGGTATTTTCTTCCTCAAGCAGAGTATGGTTTTCAGTGCAAGGGAAAAAAAAATACCACAGAGAGAATGGTCATGGAAAACTGAAAAACTGACTAATTGAGGACCGACATGGCAGAAGAAAAATAGAAAAACATTAAGTACGTTGAGTATTTTTTCATAATATTTTACATACATATGGATGAAAAACAACACCACTTTTGTTGATAGTTATGGACAGCTCTGCAGTGAGCAAAACTTAATTTTGGGCGACAGTAGTCCTTTAAGTGAGACTGTTACGGTACACATGCAATCCCTCCAATACATTGAGTAATTATATTGTTTTAAATATTGGCATAACCTATAATTTTTTTTTAACTTACCTTCCGCCAGCCTGACTGGATCAGGAGTGATTCTGCCATCAATGGGTGGAGGGTCATCATCAATATATATGTGATGGTCTGCTTCTTCATCATTTTCTCTAACTTCAGTACGTTCCACAGCAATTTCACTTGAGTCTCTAGCTCCATCTGGTTCTGCCGTTTCCTTGTTGAAATATTTCTGCAGCCATCCAGGGACAATGCTCTTCACAGTATCAGTCACACGACTGATGATACCCTGCAAAATCCACAAAAATGGTACAATTGGCAAAAAAAAAAAAATTCTCAAAATAGTTATAACAAGCCATTGACAACATACCTTGATTAATTAGAATCTTCACTTACAATATGTGCACTCATATCAATGAAGTTATGTATATTTGTCTTGCTTATGTTGCACCAAAATATTCAACAGCTCTATACAATGGGTGGCAAACCTACAAGTAATTGCAAAAGTTACCCAAACAACAAGATATGGTGAGGGCAATGCTCAAATGAGTATAGTATGATCCCTAGTATTTGTCTAAAGGGGAAAATATGAGTGCCCGAAAACACTTCTGCAATATTTCTCCAAGAAAGAAAGGTGGGGAGGACCGACCCGATATGCAATGCTGGTGAGTTTATATTAAAGAGAAACTACAAAATTGTGTTCTTAGCTTATAGTGCCCCCCTCATACGCGCAGAAAGGGTTAAAAACTTTTCCCACTTACCTGAATCCAGCGCCGATGTTAGGCTATGCCTTTTCTCCTCCCCCGACATCAGAGACCTAATGTGCATGTGTTACAAGTGCTGCGATCGCATTATGACAACCCCATAGAATCAATGCTTTCATATTGGGTTTTAACCAACGATGGATGTCCTCGTGCGACCAGGAAAGCCTCTAGTGACTGGTAGACAGCCAATAGAAGTGTAGTTAGGAAAGGTTTTCACCAATTCAGTGTTTCTCATTCTTCGCTTAAGAGTTTTCATTATCTCACAAACTCCTGTTCAGCAGACATTTACAGGATGTGTTTATCCAACAGCTGCAGTTCCACTCCTCAAAACAAGATGAGTTTAACTACTCAACATACAGTTTAGTTTAACAGGCAGTATGCAGAGATCTCCTGAGCCACTTCCGAGTATCCATGGCACAGACTCTAGAGCAGTAAAGAAGAGGGAACATATATGCTTAGCATGTGCACACAACATGCATAAGACTTCCATACAAGGTGTGTGCTCTTGCAATACAAACATGAGAAAAACAAAGTATATCAGCGATTGTGAAAAATGATCCAATTTCTGATTTCTTTTTATATTTGGGGTAGCAGGGCAAGTGTCTATTCATATTGTGGCTATAGGTATGTAACAGTTTTAAAAATATCCATTGTCGATCAGTTTATATAATTCTGATTATGTTCTGGAGATTTTCAGGCATTCAAGACTTGCTATGTTTTCCTTGTGTTACCATTTTAATATTTTTTGGATCGTTCCTTTATATATTTTTACACACACACACACACACACACACACACACACCCCATTTCAAAGACACAAATAGAACCAGTATCACCACCCACTAGGAATGTTTAACACCTGGGTAGGCCTCTGCTTATTTGCAAACAATAGCTAATTTAAAACAGCAATCAATAGCAAGTCACTAACTAATCAAATGCCTTATAATTATCAACAGGAATTCAAACCTTGTGCAATCAGTAACCTTTTCCTACAGATGAATCTTACCTGTAACAGTAGAAAAGAAAGCTCTTAGCACAACTCTTAGACAGTTGAAGCTTATGTAAAACTCTCCAGAATACCTCCAACTACACACTTAGAAGCAACACTTAGATGAAGCAACCAAGCTACACGTGATACGCGACAAATGAGAATATCGTGCAAAAGTTCATTTATTTCAGTAATGCAATGTAAAAGGGGAAAATATATGAGACGCATTACATGCAAAGCAAGATAGCTCAAGCCATGATTTGTCATAAGTGCGATGATTATGGCTTACAGCTCATGAAAACCCCAAATCCACAATCTCAGTAAATTAGAATATTACATGCAATCAATAAAACAAGGAGTGTACATAGAACAATATCGGACTTCTGAAAAGTATAAGCATGCATATGGACAGAGTACTTGGTTTGGGCCCCTTTTGCAGCAATTACTGAGGTGTGGCATGGAAGCTATCCGCCTGTGGCACTGCTGAGGTGTTATGGAAGACCAGGATACTTCAATAGCGGCCTTCAGCTCTTCTGCACTGTTCGGTCTCATGTCTCATCTTTCTCTTGGCAATGCCCCATAGATTCTCTATGGGATTCAGGTCAGGCGAGTTTGCTGGCCAATCAAGCACAGTAATCCCACGGTCATTGAACCAGGCTTTGGTGATTTTGGCAGTGTGGGCAGGTGCCAAGTCCTGCTGGAAAATGAAGTCAGCATCCCCATAAAGCTCGTCTGCAGAAGGAAGCATGAAGTGCTCCAAATTCTCCTGGTAGACTGCTGCGTTAACCCTAGACTTAATTAAGCACAGTGGACCAACACCAGAAGATGACATGGCTCCCCAAATCACAGACTGTGGAAACTTCACACTGGACTTCAAGCATCTTGCAGTGTGTGCCTCTCCATTCTTCCTCCAGACTCCGGGTCCTTGGTTTCCAAATGAGATGCAAAAGTTGCGCTCGTCAGAAAAGACGACTTTGGACCACTGAGCAACAGACAAGGTCTGCTTTTCTTTAGCCCAGGTAAGACGCTTCTGACGTTGTTTGTTGTTCAGGAGCGGCTTGACAAGAGGAATACGACATCTGAAGCCCATGTCCAGGATCCGTCTGTGTGTGGTGGCTCTTGATGCACTGACTCCAGCCTCAGTCCACTCCTTGTGAAAGTCCAACACTTTTGAATGGCCTTTTCCTGACAATCCTCTTTAGGCTGCGGTCATCCCTGCTGCTTGTTCACCTTTTTCTTCCACACTTTTCCATGCCACATAACTTTCTATTAATGTGCATTGATACAGCACTTTGGGAACATCCAACTTCCTTCACAATTACCTGTTGAGGCTTTCAATGATGGTTTTCTGCACAACTGTCAGGTCAGCAGTCTTCCCCATGATTGTGATTCCTACTGAACCAGACCGAGACCATTTAAAGGCTCAGAAACCCTTTGCAGTTGTTATGGCTTACTTGGCTGATTAGAGTGGGACACTGTAAGCCTAGAATATTGAACCTTTTCACAATATTCTAATTTACTGAGATTGTGGATTTGGGGGTTTTCATGAGCTGTAAACCATAATCATCGCACTTATGACAAACGACGGCTTGAACTATCTTGCTTTGCATGTAATGAGTCTATCTCATTATTTTCCCCTTTTACGTTGCATTACTAAAATAAATGAACTTTTGCACGATGTTCTAATTTTTCGAGTATCACCTGTATAAATAATAAAAAATAGATATCGTTTCTTGTGTGGCATCTGTGTAGAAGACTCCGTATCCAATCAAACATCTTCACTAAGTGAGTAGTGATCCTGTTTATAGTCACATGATTTTGTTGGCACTATTTGCCTATATATTGTACACTTGTTCATGTGTGTGTTAGCTTTAAAAATACAATTTTGATCAAAAGGTCCTGAACCACCTCTCTCTTGCAACCTTTATCTAGGGACTTTGTGCTAGTTTCTGGTTCGGTTGCACCCAAGTTTCTCTATATGGGTGCAGCTCCTGGTTAGGCATTGGGAATATTAAAGCCATATTGTCATTTTCCACCAAAATCTTAACTGTAGAAAGTATGGATTAAAAAGGTTTTTCTTAGAATAAATCAGCTGACTGCTTTTAAATCCAGGATGGGTCTGTAAGAGTCATCTGGCCAAGAGTATTCTTGAATAAGTGCCAGTGCCTGCTTCTTCCAATACATATTTTTATTTTTACCATTAATACCACTTCCTCTACAATTTGAAACTTTTTGGAAGACAACACAGGAACATTTGTTCTGAAAGTTAGGAGTACTGTTTTGTAACCATTATGTAGAACAGTAGAAGTCTAATACCAAATGGTCTGCTGTGGATCTTTCCCAGATCTCTAAAAAATTTCATCCAGTCTCCTACCTTTAAACTAGTGTCATTTAGTTTTGTCTGTGATACTACTTCCGTAGGAGCGATACTGAAAACCTTTGAACGAAATCTCTGTATATGGAACATTCTAAAAAGAAAGGTTTGTTACATAGACATGACTATACTACAGCCATCTATTTTAGCAGAGAGTCTAGAGGGCTGGAAAAGATCTCCTTAAAGATGTTTCAGCCCTCTTATGCATGTGGGCTGCATTCTATGTCCACTAGAATCACCTATAGGAAGTGTTTTGTGAACTATTCTGAACAGGAACTATACCTTAATTCAGTTGGTTCCAATAACAGTCACTGGCTCCTCAGAGGACCCAACTAGCTGACCTTTGGAGTGCTTTTCCAGATCTCGCTCCTTTCGCCCCCCCCACCCATTCCTACAATGATCAGCTGCAATATTAAAGGGACACTATAGTCACCAGAACAAGTACAGCTTATTGAATTTGTTCTGGTGAGTAGAATCATTACCTTCAGGCTTTTTCCTGTAAACACTCTTTTTCATAGAAAATGCAGTGTTTACATTACAGCCTAGTGATAACTTCACTGGCCACTCCTCAGATGGCTGTTAGAGATCCTTCCTGGGTCATGGCTGCCTAAAATGCATCCAAACATTCAGTATCTCCTCCCTCTGCATGTAGACACTGAACTTGCTTCATAGAGATTCATTGATTCAATTCATATCTGAGGAGATGCTGATTGGCAAGGGCTGTGTTTGAATCATGCTGGCTCTGCCCCTGATCTGCCTCTGTTAGTCTCAGCCAATCCTATGGGGAAGCACTGTGATTGGATCTGGCTACCACTTCTGATGTCAGTTGTTACAACTTCATGCTTGAATACAGTAAGATTTTTTTTTTTTTTAAATGGTAAATGTACAGAATATCGGTAAATTATCGGCCTGAAAGTTAACAGATTGGCGGTATCGGCTCTAAAAAAAATATATAAATAAATATCAATAATCGCGATCCCTACAATAGTCACCAAAGCAATATTTGCTTCAGCAGCATGTGTATATAGATCATGTTCCTGCAGTCTTACTGTTAAATTCTCTGCTATACACTGTAAGCACATCTAAGCAGGGTCCTCATCTACCTATTGTTCCTGTCTTTGTAATTGTTGCATTTATTAAATTCCCCCCTCCATAATATTGTAAAGTGCTACAGAATAAGTTGGCGCTACATAAATACCAATAATAATGTAGGAATTAAATACCTTTATTGTAAATTCTGTTTAACTTATAATTTCAAATATTCTGCTCTGTTAACAGCTTGCTAGACACGACAGGGGCCTACTGTGTGTAATTAAAGTTCAATTTACAGAGGAGATAAAAACTTAAAGGACCACTATAACGCGAGGAAAACAAAAAGTAGTCCTTAGGGCCCCCCACCCTCGTGGCCCCCCTCCCGCTGGGCTGAAGGTGTTAAAACCCCTTCAGCGCCGGTGACCTCTTCTCCTCCTGATGTCAGCGCTGAAATGCACATACGCGGCAAGAGCCACACGAGCATACAACCTGCCCATAGGAAAGCATTACTCAATGCTTTCCTATGGACCTCAGCGTCTTCTCACTGATTTTCAGTGACAGCCACTGTGACTAGAGGCTGGATTAACCCTCAGTGTAAACTCTCTCTTGAAACTGCTATGTTTTCAGCTGCAGAGTTAAAACTAGAGTGACCTGGCACTCAGACCACTTCATTGAGCTGAGGTGGTCTGGGTGCCTTTAGTGGTCCTTTTATGTTAGTTACGTCTGATTGAATATGAAAACATTTTGTTTTCATGCATAAACAGAAACAAAGGTGATTTGACTCCTAAATGGCAGAGAATTGAGCAGTGAGACTTCAGAGGCATGATCTATACACCCAAACTGCTCTATTAACCTAAAGTTGTGTTGGGGACTATAGTGTCCTTTTAATGTGGAACTGTCACTTCCCAGGATTTACCTGTTCTATTTACTCATCCCTTACAAATATATTTGGCAGGTGTGGTAAAAATAAATACATTTGTGAATTCACATCTCTTTATCCTGCATATGGACACTTCTATCTTAGCATACCAAGAAGAAGAATAGAAAGAAAATGGGGAGAAATGTAATCATTGTCACAAATTTATCAGGTATTCTCATCAGTAGATTTTTTGGCACCATTAACATTAAAGTGTATGCCATTTTCCCCCCAAAGAAACAAGTGGTCTTTTCTGAAATTGATATTTCTGCAAAATTGGAGGAACTTGGGCAGATAAAAAAAAATTAAAAAATTAAACATTTTCAACTATTTTAACAAATAGAAAGATTATATACCAAAAATAAAAATCAATTTAGGAAAACTGATAATTTTGACTATTGTTTTTATTGCTCATCTTTATTGAGAAACAATGGGGGAAGGAAAAAAAGTGATAGTTCCCCAAAAAGCAGTATTGGAACCATAACTACTGCATGCTCTTGTGTGTTATGTAGATGTCTGGGCTCCCATGCCTGAGACCACATGGAACAGTGAAGTTGCCCACAAGCTGGGAGTACAGTTCAATATATAATTTGATTCACATAATATATTTAAGAATCCGAATTACATATGCATATAAATATAAAATCTACAAAGACCATATCACAATTTGTAGTAAGAAAGTTAAAGACTGGGTGAAACTTGTTAGATTTTAAAAATAGTGTGTATTGTACCTTGCTAAAATATGGTCTATGGGTGCACTACACACAGAACTAAAACTTTGTCTATGAGTGCACTACACACACCCCCTGAAGACTACCCCCCTACTCAGCAGTAACAGAGTGCAGTGAAGCGGAAAGCATGTGGACCAAACTTTTAAATCCCTGTAACACATGCAGGTCCCGGCAGTAATGCTGTGTTCTCTCCTGATGTGTGTGTGTGAGCTCCCCTGATGTGTGTGTGTGAGCTCTCCTGATGTGTGTGTGTGAGCTCTCCTGATGTGTGTGTGTGAGCTCTCCTGATGTGTGTGTGTGAGCTCTCCTGATGTGTGTGTGTGAGCTCCCCTGATGTGTGTGTGTGAGCTCCCCTGATGTGTGTGTGTGAGCTCCCCTGATGTGTGTGTGTGAGCTCCCCTGATGTGTGTGTGTGTGAGCTCCCTGATGTGTGTGTGTGTGAGTCTCCCTGATGTGGTGTGTGTGGGAGTCTCTGATGTGTGTGTGTGTGAGTTCCCTGATGTGTGTGTGTGTGCAGCCCCGATGTGTGTGTGTGTGTGTGTGTGTGTGAGCTCCTGATTGTGTGTGTGTGTGTGGTGCCTCCTGATTGTGTGTGTGTGTGTGAGCTCCCCTGATTGTGTGTGTGTGTGTGAGTTCCCCTGATTGTGTGTGTGTGTGTGTGTGCTCCCCTGATTGTGTGTGTGTGTGTGTGTTTGCTCTCCTGATGTTATGGACCAGGTTTCCCAAGACTCACAGACACTAAAGCTGGCTGAGCATTATGGGAAACATGTGAACCACCAGCATGTGCCCAAACCTTCACCAATCGCTGACTGTTTGAAGCGCCTGGCGGGGCGCACTCCCTCCCCGCTGTCCCCCCCCCGGGCCCCGCTCCATGCTTGCCGTGTGATGACCGACCTGCTGCTGGCCTTGTTGGCGGCTCCTGCTGTATGGAGCCCGCACCGCGCTCAGGTGGTATCTGCGGCTCCGGATCTTGCCCCCAGTGCCGGCTCCTCGGCCGCCTCCTGCCCCTCCTCCCGTGGCCGACATCCTCCTGGCTCCTCCTCGGGTCACTCCCGGCCCGAGGCCGCCTGGGGCAGTGTTACAGTCCGGTACCCCGGCCGGGTCTCCACTCACTCACTCACTCACTCACTCACGGACCGTGTCCTGCCGGCGGCCGGGGAGATTGTCACTTCTGTAAATGGCGGCTCGGGGTGGCGAGTCTGCGGTAAATAGCCCGCGAGTCCCGGTACAGCTGTCCGCGCAGGCTCCGGCCTCCTCTCCTCGCGCTGCCCGCCAGTCCCTCTCTCTCTGCGCCTGCGCGCGTCAGCTAGTTACGCAATGACGCCAGGAAGCACGCACTGCCGGACGGGAGATGTAGTTCTCGCGGAAGCCGACAGGGGGCGTGTCTAAGCCTAGCGCGATAAGCTCCGCCTCTTAGCTATGACGTTCAAATTGTGCGGCAGGCGGCGCGAACTCGCTGGACGTACAGCGAGAGGCGGATGGGATGTGCGCGCGCGCGCGAGAGTACTGCTGCCATCGCCGCCATGTTTGACTGGACAGCATGGACTCCACGTGTTGTCAGTCTGAGTTACAGTGGATAGACAGAGCCTATAGCTAGACTGGAGACTGCCTCCATATACACACCGGATATAGAGTCCCACATGTCGCAATTCTCAGTGCAGCTCACCGTAAACTGGGGGCGATTAGTGAATAACTTGATACATTCCTTCATATTACTGACCTGTCTGCACTCTGTATCTATCGCTCTATAATAAAGGCAGGGACACTCACACATTGTGTTTAGAAAGCCACATTGGGGTTCACTGTATCGCCTCCACACAGAGTAGGTACCCATATCATAGCAGAGGCTCTGTCATGCACAGTAATAAACATATATTCTAAATAGTCATCACAATACCAAGATTTTAGATTGCATTACATCCACCATCTATAGTTCATGTTTGTATTTTTTAAAGTGAATCTCCGATTTTATTCGGTTTACTTAGACACTCCACACCCCTTTAGCTTACTGCAGTGCTTCATGTGTGAAGAGAGTGTACCTCTCTTCCCTCCCCCACACACACAATTTTATAAAACTTGCAGATTTCAGTAGAAATTGGAGTTGTTTTAAATTAAATTTATTCCCCTCCTCAACCCCACCACATTAGTCGGGCAACTAGTTGGAGCTAAACTCAAGTATAGTTATTTAAAAAAAAAAAAAAAAGTGAAGCTATAAAATGTATATATAGATAAAAGGAAGTATTTCTGGCATTTGTATTGTATACAATTGGCAGCTGATACTTCCTAAACCAGAGTCTCTTCTTTCTGGCTGTAGAATAGGTGATACTAGAAAGGGGTGTAGGGAAGCAACGCCTTCAGGGTGCTCACAGGCCTGTATATGTGATCGAATATAGTGTAATATTTCTTTAAACTGGTGAATATAAGAATAAAGGAAAATCACTCACAATTTTCAGGAGCTTATGATTAGCTCTGGATGTATAGCCCTGGGCGGTATGATCCCCGCATGTGGGTGCTTCTGGTCCTTCAAGGGTGTGTGTCCCACGTCAGTGGGTCGCTTTGGTGTCAGGAGTGGGTGTATTTATTTGCAATGCAGCATAAAATTCTCCAGTATAGAAATGAAAATAAAACAGAATATAGTGCTCTCTGTTATATATACAAAGAAAGTAATAAAATGAGGTATACTCACATAGGGAGAGCAAGTCAGGTTTTGCTCAATCCCATACAGCATTGGTGGTATCTTCCCCACCAAGGAAATAAAAGGGTGGATCCTCCAGTTAAATCTTCAATAGTAAAATCAGGAAGGTCCAATTTCAGTGAAAACTAGTTTTATTTAAAGACAACTTAAAGGGACACTATAGTCACCAGAACAACTACCGCTTATTGAATTTGTTCTGGTGAGTAGAATCATTACCTTCAGGCTGTTTGCTGTAAACACTGTCTTTTTAGAGAAAAAGCAGTGTTTACATTACAGCCTAGTGATAACTTCACTGGCCACTCCTCAGATGGCTGTTAGAGATCCTTCCTGGGTCATGGCTGCCTAAAATGCATCCAAACATTCAGTATCTCCTCCCTCTGCATGCAAACACTGACCTTTCCTCATAGACATTCATTGATTCAATTCATCTCTATGAGGAGATGCTGATTGGCCAGGGCTGTGTTTGAATCATTCTGGCTCTACCCCTGATCTGCCTCTTTGTCAGTCTCAGCCAATCCTATGGGGAAGCATTGTGATTGGATCAGGCTACCACTTCTGATATCAGCAGACAGCTTGTTTTTCTGCGGCAAACAGCATGCAAATCTACAGCTCCAGGCTTGAATACAGTAAGATTTCGCTATATTTATGGAGGCATGAGGGGCTAGATGGTGGTTTTAATACTATAGGGTCAGGAATACATGTTTGTGTTCCTGACCCTATAGTGATCCTTTAATAAAACCAAAATACAGCTAAAAACACTAACGTTTCACCACAGAGGCTTTCTCAAAGTCTATGTGTTTGCTGGGAAAAATCGCCATCACAACATTCTAAGTCTACTTGTAAATTCAAAGCCCTTACCAAGGTGACAATCTGTCTGGTAAATCATGTAATCCTTGAATAAGCACTGACAATCCCAATGAAAATGCCACTACTGCTCGGTCACACAGTGCAAAACCTGTATTAGTAACTCCAATAAACACCAATACAACATACAGTAGTTCTGTGCTCCTAGCATTTGCACAGATCTACGCACCTTATCTGATCTTAAAAAAAAAAAGTAAGACTGTACAATATAGCTTGGAATGGGTCGCTCGATGTTGAATCTTCTTAATTTCTTCTCTTCAGTTGATTGATATATACGTCTTTTGTATATATAGTCTTGGGCCAAATTAGCTTGCAACATTAATATATGTCTACATTAATGAAAAGTACTAATGCGCAATCTGACTTACGGTTTCTTCAGGTTTATTCTTAGTTACTGATACATAATAAAACAACAAAGGATGTTACAGGATAATGGACATTCAACAGCAGATGGTAATTGCTGGACTTCTGATGGGAGAGTTACATCTTGTACAGGAAAGAGAGCCAAGAGACCTCGTGTATCTTTGTTCAGTTACGATACAGAAGTGCCCATACTGACGTCAGAGCAATACTCTAGCCATATATGGACAAAACCCCCAAATTCACATTCCAGAGCTCTCGGACAAAGAAAGCCTTGCGACTTATACCATCTGTTACTTATGTCAATCCACACATCCATATATAATCAATAGAAACATAGAATATGCAATATTCTACAAAGACAAAATCACATTGGAGTAACCCTTTAGTTTATAAAGTACCAAAGAGCACTTCACACTAAAGCCTTTCATTTAAAGGGTTATTTAAGTTCATCATAACCTCTGCAACCTTTTCGTAATGATTTGCCCTTTTACTTAAAGGGACATTCCAGTGCCAGGAAAACAAACCGTTTTCCTGGCACTGCAGGTACCCTCTCCCTCCCACGACCCATTCCATGTTGCTGAAGGGGTGAAAACCCCTTTAGTGACTTATCTGAGATCCCCGCCGATGTCCCACGGCGGTGGTTTCAGGTCCGCCCACGCTTCTCCCCCCGCCGACGTCATCCGGCAGGGGAGACTGATCGTGCATGTGCGGCTGCCTAATGCGCATGGCGCACGCGCATTAGACCTCTCCATAGGAAAGCATTGAAAATTCTTTCCTATGGGGAATGGAGCGACACTGGAGGTCCTCACACAGTGTGAGGACGTCCAGCGACGCTCTAGCACAGAAAATCTGTGCTAGAAACCAGGAAGTGTCCTCTAGTGGCTATCTAGGAGACAGCCACTAGAGGAGGAGTTAACCCTGCAATGTAATTATTGCAGTTTATGAAAACTGCAATATTTACAGCTGCAGGGTTAAGGGTAGTGGGAGTTGGCACCCAGACCACTCCAATGGGTAGAAGTGGTCTGGGTGCCTGAGTTGTCCCTTTAAGTAAGAGCAGAAGGGACCTCCAACAAGCAGCCATTTTGCTCTGCACCTATTGCAACTAAAGTGCATGCACTGTGGCTGCTATGGTAACTTCCTAACCAGTGCTAGCTAGGGAGTAAGGCAACAGCAACTAAAGTCACTCCATTCAGACGCCAGCATGCTGGCAAAAAAGCCAGAGTGTCGGTGTCATGGAGGAGGCTTGCTCTGCTTGGGGAAGTGTCCAGAAGAAGGGCAAATCAATGAGTTTGGTGTTACAGAAATGTAGGACCCACCTCTGTAAGGAGGTTGCAGCAGTAGAGGAGAGGGTCAGGTAAGTGCCTGACAGATTCCATTTAATATCCACAAGTGTACGTGGCCAAACATTTCGAGTATCAAAACTAGACAGCAACATGTTGTGGGTATCATACTAACAAAATTAGAACTTAGCAACCATAATGGGTTAAAAGAAAGCTAGCTATTGTAAGAGGATACATTGCAAACCAATGGTACAAGAAGCAAGGTAAAAATGAAATGGGCAAATGTTTTTTTTAAAAGAGGAAGAACATTGCTCAAGAGCCCCCAGCCAATCCAAAGCAGCCTGGGCAAAATAGGGGTTTACCATAGAAGGAGGATGGAATGGCATAAAATCTTTTTTCCAGAAAATCCATTAGGCTGGCTGAGAATCTGAAATAGTGCCAGTCATACTATACTTGCAGGAGGAGCTGATGATTCTCAATCACTGTTAGAGAAGTAATAATCCATGGATTTCACAGTTTAATATGTTTATCGCTCTTGTTGAAGAGAGAGTCCATTATAGTTTTAGAAGCCTTTACTTCCTGCACCCTAGATAGCTATTGTTGATTAGTGGGTGCTTCAGGGCTTTTCCAGAGGTCAGGCACAAGTGACCTTGCAGCATTTAGTAAATGCCTTAAAGTAGATTAGAAATGGAGAGTGGAATGTCATGGAGTTGTACATTGTCAAACTCAAACAGCAGTGGAGTTTCAAAAATGTTCATGACAATCTACTATTAAGGTTTAATGAGTGTGCAATTCCACAGCAACAAACCCACCCACATGGGGAGACAGAAGGGAAGGCTGAGCAGAAATTTATTCTAACTACCACCTGCCCAACTACAACTCGCTTTCTCTCAGAACCATCTTTTGCTACTTACAGTACGTGGCTCCCCCCTTCAAAATCAGTATATAACTGTCTTAAATTACAAATGTTGAATTCCATTAGATTGATCGCTTGCTTCTGTTCTGAAGAAGAGATGAAGCTCTCAAAAAATATATTTTAATATGTATGTCTAGGCAATAAAAATCACAGCATTTTGGCAT